CTAGGTTCATTCAAATAAATAAAACTCCTGATAAAATTAAAACTTAAGACTAATTGAAATAGCCATTACTCTTTTGTGTCGTCTCTCTTTCTAACTGACTGTATTTAGCCTCTAGAAGAAAACTGCTCAAGATTCACCACAATGAAAATTTCAAATAGTCACCACATTTAGGATACCTTAATATTTTAGATGGATGATGGGATCATAAAATCTTTCAGTTATTTAACCTGAACGAAGGAAAAATATATGATTCCCTCACACAGGCTTGACGTAGTCAAATAGTACTAAAGTTTTTAACACTATTAGTATATATATGTTTATTTTAACTGAACTTCTGTTTAGAATGCAATCAAGCATATGATTATTTGGTATGTTGATGATAATAGTATTAACATGATATCGGTATTTCGTAAACTACCCATATTAAAATCATGGAGAAAATAATGTGTGGTTTCATGGAGTAAAAAAGAACATAATCAGAACAAGGAAATCGTCAACATGGTATCAGTTACTTCACTGTTACTAATCAATGTTTGCGTCTCAGTCCTGCAGAATGCCAGTTGTGATGTAAATACCTCAGTAGTAACATTGCCAATAATCATATAGGATAATATGACTTCGTATGGTTTGGTGAGTACTGATCTTCCAAAGAATAGAGACTCACACTTCTGGCAAGCATTAATCACTACAAATCCTACTTCTAAGGCTACTTATAAATTATTCCTAACTATGGAATACCAGTGTTATGTATGACTTCAAGCCACTGAAACTAATGGACTTAATATAACGATCACCCCTGAAGACTAGACAATCTGACATCAAAGACATTCGTTTCTGACCTCAAACGTTCAACCAGTAACTTTGTTGTTACTTTGTCTATAAATAGACATAAACCTTGTGAGTGCTCTTTACTTGAACACTACTAGTTGAGTTAGAGCTCATGGCGAACTGTCGTCTGCTTTTGCAACATCAAGTTATGTCCGTTAAGGCTGTCCACTTTCTCCATTTTTGTTTGACTTCATCATAGACCTACTGATGGAAATAACGCCCTCGTAGACTGAATTCTTGGGTATTGATCTCCTTCCAGGAGGTCCGCTTATCGACTTAGAATACGTAGATGATATAGCCACGTTTGGTGAAGACGATGATAAAATACAGTCTTTTGATAGCACTGAGCAACAATGCCAGAATGTTTGGGATTCATTTCTCCCCCTCTAAATGCAAGTTGTTGCTTCAGGACTGGTCTCCGTCAACACCTGAACTAAGGATAGGGAGTGAAGTAGTTGAACGCGTTGACGACTTCACTTATCTTGGAAGTCTGATCAGCCCTAATGGGTTGGTGTCTGACAAAATCTCAGCACGAATTCGAAAAGTTCGTTCGGCTTTTACCAACTTACGTCACCTATGGCGAAGGCGAGATATCCGTCTATCAATAAAAGAACGAGCATACTGCGCGGCAGTTCGTTCTGTTTTACTTTACGGCTGCGAAACGTGGCCATTAAAAGTAGATGTTCGTAAGCTACAAGTATTTGACCACAGATGCCTTAGAAATACTGCTTGCATCTACTGGGATCACCGGGTAAGTAATAGTGAGGTTAGACAAATGGTATTAGGAAATGATGGTAAATTAGTTGATGAGATTGTGAATCTTCATCGACTGAGATGGTTGGAACACGTGTTGCGTATACTTGAACACCGATTACTACAACGCGTAATGCTGACTAGTGTTGGAGATGGTTGGAAGAAAGTTAGGGGTAGCCAAACCAAAACGTGGCATTAGTCATTGAAGTCACTAACTTCTTGTTATAATCTCTGGTTTCTTACGGTTAATGACCCAGCTATTCCTATTGCTTAGTATTCTCGGACACCGATTCACTCGACAAGTCCCCAAATCAGAACACGGTTGAACAGGAAAAAGATTATATTCCAAATAGCAAGTCAGAAGCCAGTAGGAAGCACAATAGGGGAAAACGTCGGTATATTTATAGTTTTTACATAAGAAGAATCCAGAATATTCTCCAACTATCGACTGGCGCTGATTGGATAAGAATTAGCCAATCAGCGTGCAACAAAGCAATCATGCATTGAGCATGCTTTAATCTAGTCTATGTCCCGCTAACACCTCCCCTCTGAGCAGATTCGTAGGATCTGGTGCTAGGGTCCAACTGCAACTGAGTGAATAGCTTGTGCTTTCGATTAGTCTATCGTCTAGGCAATGAAGAATTATCACTTTTTCCTTGCACAGAGACTGACATGTCTGTTCCCGGCGTTTTGATTTTTCTTAAAAAAAAGTATGCATAACTTTTAATTTTCCAACATTCTCCTCCTCCTCGAAATAATGTTGGGTCCTTATGGCTCCAAATTACAACTAGTAGGACTTTATTTAAAACATGTTTCTCGTATTGACTGGAGAATCCACTAAAAATGACTAGATGATGATGAACAACCTTTGATCTGAGTTCATTATTTTCAAATTCATTATGAATCTCGTTAGCTGATAACGAGTCATTAAGAAAGTCAACGTCTAACAGAATTAGATTAGATTTTTGGCCATCATTCGACTCAGCTGACATATTTCCCTCATTGTTATAAGAAGGTTCATCAAAATCATATGCATTATTCTGAGAATCAATATCTGGTACACTGTCATTAGAAATGGGATAAGTTGACTCAATATAAAATTCTGTCTTCCGGTGATTTTGAGTAACATCTGGTACAATTTGGTTCATCGTGTTGCTCCAGTTATTTTCTGAATACGAGTCACCATAGCTTTCTCGACTAATAGCACGTGGACCACAATTTTGTTCGAGCTGACGTTTATTTTCGCAGCTAGACAGTACCAGTAGTGTTTCATTTGATTCTGGACTCTGGGCATCATCTACAGGATCTGGCTCCTGATCATCTGGTATTGTCACAACTTCATGTGCATTCAGCACAGTATTTTCTTGCTGTGAGCCGGAAACGTTACAAATATTACGTTCTGATTCAGGTATAAAGGGATTTGAACCCTCCACTAGATATGCTTCTGAAATGTCTGTTACTGCATCATAAACAGATTTCTTATTTTCTGGTCGAGTGAAAAGTGTGTTCAATAGTTGTTGTTGCAAGGCTAACAACTTCTGCTGGTGCTGTAATATTAACCGCAACTGTTCTAAAGAAATCGCCATTTTTCTTTAGTTTTTCCCCGTCGCCACTGTTATAATCTCTGGTTTCTTACGGTTAATGACCCAGCTATTCCTATTGCTTAGTATTCTCGGACACCGATTCACTCGACAAGTCCCCAAATCAGAACACGGTTGAACAGGAAAAAGATTATATTCCAAATAGCAAGTCAGAAGCCAGTAGGAAGCACAATAGGGGAAAACGTCGGTATATTTATAGTTTTTACATAAGAAGAATCCAGAATATTCTCCAACTATCGACTGGCGCTGATTGGATAAGAATTAGCCAATCAGCGTGCACCAAAGCAATCATGCATTGAGCATGCTTTAATCTAGTCTATGTCCCGCTAACACTTCTAGTCTGAGCCATGTTGGTAGATACTACTAGACTACTTGGTTGAGGTCCGCGTGACTATCGTAACCAATGGTTAGGGTCTCTTGGTGACATGGTTCAGGATCTATCACAATGGCGTCGGTGTATACACTTGGTGTCTTCTTTGAACTAAGAGATTAAAATCGCTTCATATCTTTCTTTCTACGTACTAAATCTTTCTCCCTGTATTATATCCTCATATGCAATCTTTCTTTTATATATTACCACCATTGACTTAACCACTTCTATGAATCCACTGTTCATCTTGCTGTGCTAATGCGGTACGTCAACTTGGATCGATGCATATATGTGCCTGGTTCTACGTTATATCTGACTGACTAACTTGATACTATATGAGATTTTGTGATGCATTGAAGATTTTTAATAGAAGGCGGAAGTTTATATGATCGTAAAAATAAAAAAATAACTTTTATATACATATTCGCCTTCTGTTATAAATCTTCAATACATCACAAAATCTCACATAGTATCAACAAAATTACTGGTTGAATGTTTAAGGGCAGAAACCAATACATTAAATGAATTAATCAACGATCTAAGTATCATATGCTGCATAAAATTTATCAACTTTATCTAAAGTCTACTAAGTAAAATTTCCACGTAACTTTATCCATCTTTATTCTTGATGTCTTAAGGATAATATAAAGAAACTATGTTTATGTAATATGATAATAGTTACCAAACAGTGTACACATTAAATCAATCTGTAAGTGTGAAGTATTATTACGAAAAAAGTAATAATAAATGACCTATTTTGACCGTGTGTTTAATACTATAATAGCTAAGATATTTCTATTCATAAGATATATACAATTTTTGTTAATCTCTTTATGTTTGTTTGTTTCTCTCTTTTTTAACCATCATTTCTGTGGTTTTCTTTTTTTTTTATTTTGTTAAAAAAAACACAATCAAATATATAAAGAGTTATACATATAAATATTATTTTTTTTTTGTTTAAATTAGTTTAACCTTGAGCATACATACAAAGAAATTACTTGTAAATGATTGGTACATTTGAATAGTGTATTTATCTATTCATTCACTTGGAAACACAAACAACCTTTATTGATATTTTATAGTCTCTATATTTATTTAGCATAGTGATTAATTTAAATATTTATAAGAAATACTGTCAAATTCAATAAATGATATTGATTTCTCCTATTCAAATAAAAACAGATTAAATTCTTAAGATATATATGTATATATATAAATATATTTTTCTTTTTTATATTTTTCTTTCGAAAAAGGATATTTATTACATATAAAAAGAAAACAAAAGAAAAGAAAAGAAAATTATTGAATACATATAATTTAACATAAATAATTCTATGATCATATTGCCTATTCTAATTTACAATATGATATGATTACTTGGACTTATAAATATGTGGATTATTATTATTATTATTTAAATTGTATAAAATTATATTCATTTAATAAAATTTCTCTATTTATATTTATTTATTTAATATTACAATTACCAAATTTATGTGATTCAATTGAATCTAATATAAAATGGTTTATATATTCAAATCAATTAGTGGATACATTTTCTGTAAAAGGTAACTTAAAAAAAGAAGAGAGAGATTAAATTAAAATGATTATTTATTCTATTATTATATAATGAAATGTTTTTGAAAGAATATGATGTAGAATAGAATGAATGATTTGACAAATCGGTTGTGAAAAATTAAGCATATTATGTATAAAAATCTGATTAATTTATCACCATCACTACTACTCTTGCTCTTACTATTACTACTATTACTACTACTACTACTGTGGTGTGTGCTACTTATATTGATATAAGTAGTATATTATGCGAGTCAAGAATGTAATGTCTGGCAGCAGAAGATGAGGGAAGATCAAGAAAGCAGGAGTGGGAATAGAATGTAATTTGTATGAAAATGTAAGAAAAATGAAGTCTGAGGCATTTTGAGACAAATGGTGGACATTTTGCAAATTAAAGATTTAATATATAGTTCTCAGATTTTATTGAGATGCTTTGTAGGTTTGTACCAAATATGTTCGGTTATCTCCACCCGTGTTCTGCTGACTACACTACTACTACTGCTCCTACTTCTACTGTACAGAAAAAGAATACAATTGATGACAGTCAAATTTCAGTGCATTTAAGTAAAATTTCAGAACCTTACAGTAAATAATTAATTTGTAAAATGTCAATCAATCGTCTCAGACTTCACGGTTCCTTTAGTTCCACAGTAATCATTTTTTTGTTCTCGTTTTCTTTTCTTTGATTTTATTAATCTTCCGCTGCCAGGTATTTCACTTTCGATTGATGATAGATATTATGTCTAGCGACATTAGTAGCACACACCACAACACTACTACTATTACTGTTACTAAAGAAATGTTGATTTGCGATAATGAGGTTAATTAAATTATGGTAAAGATTTGTAAATTATGTTCTTAATTCATTTGTTTGTTTGTTATTTCAAAATAAACTAATTAAAATCCAACTAGTATTCAAAACAAGAAACTTATACAACTGTGATTTGACAGTAATGAAAACGGAAAATGATGAGAAAAAAAACGGGCTATTTAAGTCATCTAAATAAGAACTCAGCATTTGAACACTATACAAATTTAGAGTTCAAATACACAGATAATAACTCCATCACAGTCTCTGTTTTTTACTTTTTTTCTGTTCTCTTAAAATGACAGTTATTTTAAACTGTAAACACCTATTAATATAATGTTGTGAATTCATGACAGTATTAAACCTATAATACATAAAGCACAGTATTTCTTTGATTCAATTATCCAAGTGAAATTTTAACCTGACATCAGAAAATTGTCTTTAAAATATGAATTTTGCCAATGAATTTTTAGTCAAACTTAAAGCTTCTATCTTTTCAAAGTAAAATTTTTTTATATTACTATTAGATGGTTTAAGGTAGTCAGTAGGGAAGTATAGACCTACATTTCGTTGTTACTCCTATAGCGTATATAAAATCTTGAGTGATTCAACACCATCTACTGGGTTAGAATCCAAGTCATCTGGTTTCGTAATCAGAGATCTTATGGTGAGTCATTTAAGTCACAACTGGTCTCCTGTAGTACTGAGATTAGCATACTTACTGACCTTTGATTATAAAGTAATATTATATTTGTTTTATCCATACTCCGAATTGAAGTCCATTATTTACACTACCTAGCAAATATCTAGTGTTATCACTATTAGGTAAATAATTTAGTAAAAATGTTCATTTTTCATCTTTATCTTCGATTGATTCAGTAAATTTATGCAAATTAATACTTGAAGTACTTGAAAAATAAATTTGACAGAAGCTTTTTTCTGTGATTGATTATATATTATGGTAGCCTATCCTGGTATATGCAGAGTTTAGTTTGGTTCCACGAGATAAATATGACTTCTAGTGAGAAACGATTGCTCATAAAATGAGTGGTTACGTAACCATGCGGAGAGATTATTACTGGCTAAGATATTAATTACTTATTTGTAAACTATTGTACTAAAACGTGAAAAAAGGAAAAACCTTAAAATTTAGAAAAGCATAGTAACAGTTGAAGAAATCTTTCAAGGTTGTTATGAGAACTATACAGAAAAAGGTCGTGGCATGCTATTATCCCTAATGTGACGAAAGTCTTACATCATAAATATCTACTCATGTAACTTGAGTTTATGGATGGAATATATGAATTGATAGAAATCATATAGATATCACTAATTCTGCTCCATAAGGTATATCCTGATGCTTTTCACAATAATACTGCGTATAACAACCATTTGTGTTTTAAATTATATATTTTTTGTGTGAATTATTTGTATGTGTCATTTCGCTGAGATGTTTTACTGTTAGCTAACCATTTGTCTTATGGTTCCATTTGATTTGAAAGCATTTCTTCCATGACCCAAGTTCTCTAAGTACTAGTCACTTAATCATAGTTCATATGATTTCACACAATCGATTTGATATTCCGATCCGTTAAAACAAGTATATTCTGCTCCCGTACCCACTTAGCCATGTTATGTAGGATAAATATAATGGATAATGAAAAAGAACATGGATAACTCTCAACAACTTTTACGAAGTCTGGTTCCCAATGACTAACTACATTAGAAATTTATATTGATTAACCTCGTCCAGACAAAAGTAACTCGACTCATGTGTCAAGAAAAAGTGAACAGACTTAAACTTATTTATCACATGAAATAGGTTTAAAACCATGTAATCATCACATTGATTTTAAGAGTTTTATTTTACATTGACTAATAATTAGATATTAAGTACAGTTTGACTAAATAGGTCTCACCGTCTAAGTTGATAAGCAACTTATAGAAAATGAAGCCAATCTAATATTGTCGTGAAATTGGAAATTTTACAATCAACTAGAAAAGGTATCTATTGAGCCATATGGTAAATTCCCTATCTTAAAAACTTTCCAGCATCTTCAAATCTGTAATGCCTATCCAGAATGTAGTTACTTATTTTAGATAGAAAACAAAACAGAACAGTTATTCAGTAGGCAATTAAAATTCCAACTATATGATTGCTCATACCACTAATGCTAAACTATTCAGTAAAACATTAAACTGTTCCAAATATTGTACACTTCTTAATGTATAAATCATATAAAAAACAAGATTTTATTTTAATTAATAAAATTCATGGTGAAAATAACTCTGAATCATAAATCATTTAGACATGAAGTTTATCAGTCTCAACAATGTCTACTCATTGTGTATATATTTTTATATATTTGAATACCAATTTTGTCAAAAATGTAAATGTAGCACACAACAATCTAATCAATAAATCTCAAAAAGAAACTGAGTGGACTTTCTATTGTTACTATGATTTTGTTTTTAAACTAATACTATGAAGGTATTCTATTTAGATATCATCTCATAAATACCTTTTTACTTGACTAACAAATTGGTTTCAGTTTGTTTTTCAATCATAAATTACTACTGGAGAACCGCTAATATTTGCATGTTGTGTACATAGTGAGATAGTCAATACGACAAGTGGTAGTCACTCTTAACACATGTTATCACGTGTAATACGATTTGTTTGATGCCAAATCTTAAATAATTGGTTTATTTTACTATTATAATTCACCAATTAAATTTAGAAAGAAAGTGAGACATCAACACTACGCACTCAATGCTCACATGTTAATTTTGACTAATCGATATATTTGTGATGTGAAGCGATAAATGTAAGTAAGGAATCTCTGGATAAATTGGTTTCCTTACAAATTGAAGGTAAAAAAGCAATGAGGAAGAATGTATTTGTATAAATGTCAGCGAATGAATTTGAAGTAAATCCAAATTTCCGCATGTAATCTGATCCAAGGTTTTTAAAGGAAATATCTCCTTGAAATATTTCCTTGAAAAAGCTAGGACCAGATTGACAGGCGAATCTTTGGATTTGCTTCAAATTCATTCGCTGAGATTTTACAAATACATTCTTCCTCTTTAATGTCTCATATCAACTCGGCGCCCAAATACTGTGAAACTATCCGATGAAATTTAGACGAAAGTTCTTATTTATTATCCTGCAAAAAAGTAATGAATTGTAGACCTAGAATGTGTCGTTTATTGTATTTTAGGTGTACTTAAACCTGTGGAAATGTCCTTGTTCGATTGGCGACTTTGAAATTAACTTGATTTTTCGTGCTTAAAATGTACCAGTAGACATATTTAGCATATATAGGTGAGCCACAAATCATTCATAAGACAATCACTCCTAATATGAATTTAGTAGTTCTGAATACATTTTGACTGACCAATTGAAAAAAACACTGAGAACCATATATTACTAGACTCCTCAGTTTAAATTATTTTAATTACCTACGGAATTGAATGACTTTGTGATGAAAACTATCGTCATATAAACAGTCACAGACTGCTACTTGGGCAACATATAATTCATTTCTTTAAGATTATAGTGACTCATTTAGAGATAGCTATATCGGATTACTGTAAAGACTCGAAGCTTTTTAGGTTGAACGGAGAGGCATACTTTCCATTCAAGAAATCTGTTAGGAACATGACCGATATTGATATAACAGTTTCCAGAATTGAGTTTGAGGTTTTTAACGTTTGGATAGTCTTACTGATTAAGCTGAGTGGAAAACACATCTATAAAAATAATTATTCTACTCAAATAGAAGTAGAAACAGTGGTACTTTGAATACTTCAAATCGAACAATATATTTTCACCAGTAAAATTCAACTATTCATCCCATATCAATAACTAATAGAATATTGGCTGAGAATCCTTTAAAACTAGAGAATACTAGAGATAGCTAGTTCATCATAATTCAAGATATTTAAAAATGTAAGCCATACAATTTGGAATCAATGATTAAGTTGTATGATGGTCTTTGTGTGCTTCTGAAGTTATATTCGTGAGTGTACACCACTGACAAGTCCTGTGGTAATTGAGCGAAACAACATTTAAATACTCCATCAGTTTTACAAAATTTTCGATGATGAAATCTTTCTTCAAATTTACCTAAGTTGTTTAAGCTGTTCAATTCAATTAATATTAGGCTAACATTACACACCTTGAAATAAGATATACCATGTAGGGGATGAAAGTGACCGATTTCTCAATGTTTACCACACATGATTAGTTTGTAGAATAACCTTGAGGAAACTGAATTTCTCTCATGTATACATATATATGGGTGTGATTTGTAAGAATAGAGATATTCAAAGTTTTGTTTTAAATTACTAATTCCCTTAGATTTTATGAGTGTATACAAAAGTTTTCCTTTGTTCAGGTAATAAGAAATTTAACGAGTGTTATTCTCTGTTCTTAGAATAACAGTAATTATAAATGAAATCTTGTTCCTCCTTAGGTTCACTTTTTTTAATCACACACAAACTTGAGGTTTTTTGTTCCAAAAACAGAAGTTTTGAGCTCCTCATCCTTTCTTTCATGTTCTCCACAAAACTAATTAAATAACTGCTTTCGGCCAACGTTTTACTGAGGAAATCAAGTTCCCCTTCAACTCATTCAGTACTACAGATCCTATGTATCCGATAACTGAAAAAGTGAATATGATTCCTCTTTCTTCCTAATGAAACCTAAGTATGGAAGATAGTTATCTAAAAACAGCTATCTGATCTGCTTTCTAGAAGAGAAAATGAAAGAAAGTAGACAAAAAGAGCTCAAGAATTCTGTTTCAAAAAATTTATTTAAATGAATTTGAAATTTAAAGGCGATAAGCTTAAAAGTTCGTTGTCGACGCCAATTAAAATAATGTTCATGAATTAAGGTATTTCATCTTAATTTTGTGTTCATTATTTTAAAGTGACTATGATTACTTTGTTGTTGTTTGAGTACTGTTTATACTCAAAGAAATTTCTTTCAATCTACTTGTATAATGGACTATTAATATATGTTTCTTATCTGTAAATCTTATAAAAAGGAAACTGACAATTCATTATTAGTCTAGTTAAGTGAATTGGAAATTTTAAGCATTGTTCACTTATGTAACACATAAAAGTACCCTTAAAATTATTTCCTTATGTTAGTAAGTTTCTATTAAATTGCTAAAGAATATCATTTCTTTCCTATTCAATACATTATAATTCAATAGCTTTGTTGTTTTCTTCTTTGACTAGTATACTTTGAATACGACACTTCACACGACTAGACGCGGATCAGAACAAGGATGGGCTAAGAATATAATATATGCTAGAAATGGTTCTGAAACAATAATATGTAGAAACAACAACAAAAGTTTATGGAGTTTGAAGAAGAAATGTCTAGTTGTTCTATTTTATTCTACAAATGCTGATTAGTTAAAAATATATGGGCCACTTAGCGTTTTCTTACATAGTCTTATAAAAGGCAATCAAACATTCGGATTCTGTTATCCTAACAAAGTTAACATTTCTCCAAAGTAACTCTCATCAGCTGGGTAACCATTAAGTATTAATGAGCATTGGATGACTGTTCTGTTTTTTTATGTTTATGATTTGGAAATGCTCAAAAATATGTCTATCTAACGCTGTTTATTTTCAAAAACCTTAGTTGGAACCCATGGTCTCATTGTTTTCTTTATAAATCCTGCCTTAAATGCCGATAAATCCATAAGTATAACTGTATATGTTATGAACAGTATGTTCTATTATTTTCTATCACAGTAGAAAGTACATTTTGTTCTAACTTAGTTTGATTTCTGGAAATTTGTTTTATTTATTAATCTTGACATCAAAACAGCTGTATACTCACCACTAACCTGAGGCTGGTTTCCATGTTACTTTCTAATGTAAAGAATAAGAAAGATATTTGAATTAGATCCGTTGAAGTCAAATATATGTCTAAATTAAATTAAATTTGCCTTCAGATTAACTAGATATAACATCGGGAGAAACTGAATAACATACTTCATAATTTTCATTGTGATCTGACAGAAACTAGATAACCATTGAAAATTAGGAGGAGTTAAATAAATGTTTCGTTTTCATGTGAGATTTCTCAACACTGTACATAACCAACCCTACTTATAACCAAACTTATGACCTTCATTCATTGTGGAGGATTCTTTACCTTAAAATTACTAAGCTGGCATTCATTAGCTTACATTTCTAACTTCAGTCGATTCGCGATACTGAAGCTCACTCTTAACATGGTTGATTAACATATATGGATATCTTTTTCTGCTGACATTATTAAAAGTCAAGTAAAATTTTGTGGGATACCCAATATACGCTAGATAGTACTACTATATGTAGTTCTAAGTGACTAGTTGTAATCACTTATCTTGTATGTTATCTTTCAAGTAAGTGTCAAACGGATTCTTACCGTTGTCAATTATCAACAATATTTTCTATCATCTGGTAATCTAGTTCGATTATCTTTATTACTACCACCAGTTTTCTTTAAAATGAACTTGATTTTGTATTTAGATTTGATTTCAATGGGTCAAGGCAACATCTTCTATCATCTTCATTCTGGAAATTATACAAACCTCTTAGAATTACCTCACCTGAACAGTATTTTCGTTATTGGAAACAGGTAAGATATCATGAGCAGTTATTTACATATATGAATATTTCAGTGTTAATGTTCTTAGTTCAAATATCTTTTTTTCGTCTCATCAAAATAATTATTGAATGTAAATGTGGAAAGAAAGCCTAGATCACAAACTGAATTAAAAGTGAGATATTCTGAGTCCGTTTTAAACGGAACAGGGTGCTTTTTTTAAAATCCCAGAAAAGTTTGCTTTAAATCCAAGTCAATCTGATGTCTGAGAAACCTGAGGAAGTTGAATTTATATATTTCAAAATTAAGATTCATAATTAGTCTTACTGGATTAGTTTAAGAACAAAGTAACTTGATTTCAGTATTCGAAAATGAAGTTCTAGAATTTTCAAGGCGTTTGGAATGCCACTTTCATAGAATTGAAGCAGCTTATCATGAATCAACTGAACCTGCAACCTGACAGCAGAATCACTAAATACCTTATAGTTGTTATAGTGACTAAATCATATTCGATACTGACAGAGGATGAGTCCTGAAATTTAAACGATTTCATAGATAGCTTACTTATTACAACTGTGACCTCTCGTGAAGGAGCATGAGCCGCTCACCAACATCCCCTACCCAGCTCTGTCCTGGGAAATCCTTTCCAGTGCTTCGCAGTTACTACTCATCCTTTTCATGTCTGCTTCCGATTCCCGAAGCAGTGTGTTCTTTGACCTTCCTCTTTTCCGTTTCCATTCACGATTCCAAATTAGGGGTTGTCTCGTGATGCAGTTTCAGGATTTCCGTAGTACTAATTCAGTGCTGTAGTTACGTCTAGTGTGAGAGTGGAATGTTATTGTAATGAGAATGGAGCATATATTAGAACATTACATTAGGGTAAACATTCTTACTCTCTCACGCCTTTTACCTCTCGTGATGGAGCATAGGCTGCGCACCAGCATTTTCCATTTCATTCTGGGAAATACTTTCCAGTTCTTCGCAGTTGCTATTCATCCTTTCCATGTCTGCTTCCAATTTCCGACACAATGTGTTCTTTGGCCTCCCTCTTTTCCGTTAGAGATCGTCTCGTGATGCAGTTTCATGATTCCCGTAATGTATGTCCCATCCACATCTAGTATCCTCTCCTACTTTCCTCTTCAGTTGGAAGTTGGTTTGCTCTCTCCCACAGTAAGCTGTTGTTGATGGTATCCGGCCAACGAACATTGAGTATCTTGCGTCGACAACTGTTTAGAAATACTTGTACATTTTCGATGGTAGTTGTCGTAGTTTTCGGAGTTTCAGCCCGCTATAGTAGAACTGTCTTGACGTTCGTATTGAAGATTCTGACTTTTATATTGGTTGACATTTGTTTTGAGTTTCACATGTTGTTGGGTTGTAGGAATGCTGACCTTGTTTTGCTAATCCTTATCTTAACATCTTGTTCATCCCACCACCTCCAGAGTTTACCATCAAGTGCGATTGAGTTGGTTGGTATTCTCTGTCTTATGTTTGAGGATTTTGCCTTTTCCTTTGAGTATATTGAGATCTTCTGACACAGAGACTGCTGCTACACTGGTTGTCTTGACCTGACTTTGTTGGTGTATATGGGATAGAAGGACCAGGCCATCTGCGAAGTTCAAATCTTCTGATTGATTCCGAGCTGTCCATTGTATTCCGTGCTTTCCTGCAGATGTCGAGGTTTTCATAATCTAATCGACCACCAAAAGAAAGAGGAAGGGAGAGAGTAGACAGCCTTATCTGACTCCGGTCCTTACTTGTAATGCATCTATCTGCTGTCCTTCATGCGCGATTTTTCACTATAGTCCGTCGTATGAATTCCATATGACGTTGAGAGTCTTCTCAGGTACACTATAGTGTCGAAGAAGTTTCCATACGGTCATCCTGTTCACAATGTCGAACGCCTTCTCATTATCAAAGAAGTTGGTGTACAATGACGATTTCTATTCAATTAAATGTTCAACGATGATCCGTAATGTCACGATTTGGTCCGTACATGACCGATGCTAACGGAATCCGGTCTGTTGATCTCGAAGTTGAGCGTCTGTCAAGTCTTTCATCCGGTTCAACAACACTTTTGAAAACTTTTCCCAGTACTGGAAGTAATGTGATTCCTCTGTGGTTCTCACATTTGCTCAAATCTCCATCTCATCCATTGACATACAAAGTACTCCTTTATTTTCACTGTTTATTCAACCAACGATAACTTATGAAGAGAAATTTTATTGCAATCAAAAATCATTCTAATTATTCTCCTATATTATAATGTTATTTCTGATACGAATTATTTGATATCTACTTATTTTCACCACACCATAGAATAGACAACAACAAACGGTAACTTCTTCACTTATTCATTCAACTATTGAATATATTCAAACTGTAACATTTTTGATCATTATGTGACAAAATAAAATCAGTTTGAATTACAATATTTTCATAGATTTTTCGAGGTCATGAATATGCTTAGTCAATAGGCATCAAACGGCATAAAACAAATTAGTAGGTATTACGGTTCGTTATTATCTATTAATAATAATAATAATAATAATTTTCAAGTGATGCATAAATGTTTGGATTTCGATTTAATGAATTTCCCTTTAATGAGTAAATCAAATAACATAAAGTAATTTTTGTCAAGGGATAAAATCAATAGGGCAACATTTTATCAACGAAAGTCATTGGGTAAGCCTTTCGCCATAATTTGGGACTCTCCACTGGTGCCCATCTTGAAATGAAATTTCACCTTCAAATCTCATAGTATGCAGATTACAAGTCAGTTGACCAATTAAAATTTAGTAGTCAACATACTTTAGATTGCAGGAGTGGCATATTTAAAACGGGAATAATTTTCTAATGGTATGAAATTTATCGTAAATGCCTCTATCGCCCACCATTTAACTGTACTCTACTTTTACCACTCAAAAGCGTCATCGACCAGTTATCGGACATATCAAGAAAGTGATAACGAACCAATCACATGAGTACTTCTTCAAAAAATAAAAGGGGTAGGCATTTATGAATTTTACTGTCCATTACCTCGCTGTTTGAAACTTGTCAGCTCAAATCCAGAAAACCAACAAAATTCAGTCTTTCTTGAATTTATGGGTCTTCACTTATTTTTCAAACTTTTCAGTTGTCTTGTGAAATATTATATTATTTATCTCTAGGCCAGGGTAACACCAATCCATTAAGGATTGCAAAAGCACTCTGTTGACAGGTACAAAATATTATGAGACATTGGTTCAGAGCTGCTGATACTAGTAATCAAATCATCCTTTTCAACAACGAAATCAGAACAATGGCATCATAACAATTTTAGAGTATTCCGATCATAAAAAAATTAATCATTTCTATCTTTAATTACTGCCATCAATAAAAACCACAATTATGTTTCTTTATTTTCAGGAACGCAATATTTCGCTTGAATCCAGAAAATCTTCGACTGATGGCTAGTTTTGAGTTGCCATCAAAACCAATAACATCATTCTGTATGGCGAATACAAAAGTTAGTTTGTATGAATGTGTATACGCGAGTATTTGATTTATTTCCAGTAGGTCAAGTTTATTGTTATAGGTCTAAATGATATCTTATTTTCTTAGTCCATTGTAATCCTCATAAACTAGGAATTAACTATTGAATATACAAGGACATATTTATGTAATATGTAGTGTTTAATTTTCCAAACTATATAACACATTTTAGATCATCTTTGCTTCTGAAAAGTTCAGATTGTTCATAAGACTTATTCTTGGGATGTGTGGTAATTAAATTATGATTAGTCGTTGAATATGTACAATCAAGCACAGCACAAACTATAAAATATGTAATTTTCTTTCATTTCATTGACATTTACCCCGAACTCATTAAGAATGACTGGTTGTAATTGTATTGAATAATGTATTATCTAGTGTTAATCTGGTTCTTTATTCTGGGTCGTGAATCCTGGTCTTGATATACGTTGTCTAGTCTTATCATCGTAATAACGTACTATTGTAATATAGGTGAGAGAGCATACTTCATACCATACGTTATATCGTCTTAACACTGAATCTAAACGACATCTAAGGTTATAAGTTGAAAGCAGAAACATATAACTTCCAGATTGAAAGTTTTATGACTGCTTAATGTACGTAACCGCTTTAACTACAAAATACATATTCGATGGTTCTGTAACTAAAAAGTACATAAATATAAAGTTTTCAGCACATTATTTTCTTCTATTCCAATATTTTAATTAAATAGTAACTAACTGTAAATATGCACAAAATTACAGAATGAATGCCGTACTGGCAGTTGTAAAACAATCAATATTAATTAATTGAGTGTGAACTAAATTCTGATAACTTACTGAATGGTAAAGACAAGTTGTTATATCTAAACTGTTACACAACTATCGATAAATTCCGTTTGTTCAGGAGTTAAAAAGCTATTTTCAGTTTCATATCAAGTAGGCTCCGTAATTACTCTGACTCATCTTTAGTTACTCAGTTTATAACTCTCTTCCGTTATTTTCTCATAAGAACCATTTAGAAATTTAACTAGGAACGTTCATATTTGGTAGAAAACATCATTGCTTCAGGTCATTTGGTCGAAATCTAAAAATATTCATAGATCTCCAACCGTATTCAATTTATGATATAGTGCAATTGTGGTGTGTGCTACTTATATTGACATAAGTAGTAGATAATGTTAGTCGTGGAGAGAAGGTCTGACAGCAGAGAGACAAGAGGATCGGACAGTAAAGAATAGAAACAGGTTGCAATTTGTATAAAAATGCAAGAACAATGAAGTCTCAGTCATTATGAGACAATTGGTGGACATATTGCAAATTAAGCATATACTTTATGATTCTTAGATTTTATTAACAAGTCCTGTAATTTTGTGTTACAAACGTTCGATTGTTCCCAACCGTGTTCTGTTCACTACGCTATGATGACGGCACATATATGCCTTTTGTCACTGACTTCCAAAAGTTCTTCAAAAGAATAAATTAAGCAAATCTTAATATTGAAGTATTTTTACACAAAATATTTTACCGAAGCACTAACTTTCCCTTTATCTTGCATTTACCTCTAATCTCTTTTCTTTCATATCCATCGATCAATAAACTACCACCATAAATGAACTAAATATTCATATTCAATTTTTAAAAAAAAACAAAATGAACAGACTCCATGCATTGAAACACCGGAATTTAATTTGTTACTACAAACTCATGATAAACAAAATATTTGGTATTGTTATCTTTATCAAACAGTCTATATGAATCAGAATGTCATTCCAAATGTACAGTCTGCAAGATGTGAAATACCTTCAGTGAGTCCTACGGTTTTAATTTTTTAATAATTTCTACTAGTAACTACTGAAATCGATATACTTTTTTTTATTTCAGTGAAATGTCTTCGTATGAGTTCAACAGAATTATTGATTTTATGACTTATCATTATGAATTTTCACAGATTGAAATCGTGAGTCATTTAAAGCTAGACCACCATGGAAAACCTGGAAGCACTGGACGGCCGTTTCGTCCTAGTATGGGACTCAGCAGTGCACATCCACGATCCCGCACCCCACGGGATCCGAACCCGGGACCTATCAGTGCATGTGCATTGCTGAGGAGTTTTATACTAGGACGAAACGGCCGTCCAGTGCTTCCAGGTTTTCCATGGTGCTCTAGCTTCAGTTGACTCATGATTTCAATCTGTGAAATTTCTAAAATCTCCACAAACCCCTTCTGATAATTATCATTATGAATTGTTAATTTAGAAAAAAATGAGGGAAATTAATTTAAATCCGTGTATTGATAAAATTGCAAGTTGGGATGTTAAAGAACAGGAGAAATTAGCAGCAAATATGACTGATTTTATTATTACTTTTTGTCCTACTAAGTGAAAGAAATATCAGAAAATGATACAACTTTTGATTGAGGAAAGTTGTTATTTAGTCAAGTTAGTATTTAGGTCAGTGAAATGCTGTTAAACAGTTCAACTATTTGGAGATGAGAGTTTGAAATCTAGTTCGAAGTGATCGATAGGATTTGATCAGTACTAAAGTCTAGAAAAATATTATATTGGTCGCTACTCAGTTTTAAATATCTCAGTCCTACTGGAGGACTGCAGCAACTCAAATAGCTTAGAGTTGTAGTGTATGCTACTAAAGTTGACAGTTATAGGTATTATTTAGCAGTAGTTGGAAGTGGAAGGCCCGCTAACAGAAGATTAAGAAGACTGAATTGAAAAGAACAGAAAGAGAGGCAGAGAGCAAATGTAATAACAACAGAATTGGACGAATATTGAAGCATGTAAACGACAAGTGAAAGATGTACAAACAACCTATTCAATGTTTGGTTTTCATATTCTGGTAAATCATTGTAATTATGCGTTGGTCAATATTTTGAGTTGCCTCACCAAGTTGTCGTTCACTTCTGAGGTACTATTTTAAGCTATGAAACTGGATGACGCTCACTTAAATCCCATGGGGAGAAACAACTCTTGACCTTGTCGATGAGTTCCAACAAGCAAAAAGTACAGACCTACGGTTTCCCGTTAACTGTCTACCATTTTACTTCAAATTCCAATCATGTTCTAACGATTTGACAATTTGTTCAAAAGTGCGAAATTCAAACAAACAATACAAAAGTGAATTGTAAGTGATTATGTTCTGTAAACCTCCCGGTTACAATCAACTACTCTTGTACTTTCAGTTAAGCAAGTTAGAATCTTTGTCAAAAAAACTGGCTAACGATTAATAAATGTTTTTGTTTGTTTTTAAAGAAATTAACTTGTTATATTTTACATGTGAAAATGTATTTCACAAGTAATACTATTCCTAAGTAATTATCCATCAAAATTTGATGTAGATATTTGATTAAATTATAGTTCTTAGTGTTCAACCAATCAAGAACTAAAATACAACCTTTTTGAATTGTATATTTGATAGTTATTTCTAAAGTCTGAAATCAATATCATTCACTCATGAATCCTTGTTTATATTGATGGGTAATTTGCTCACTTATATATTTTTCCCTGGTAACATTGTTTTGAATATAGTCGTACACGAGACATATATTTGATGGAGAACACTACTGGAACAGATCTTTATATAATACTATTCAGGTAGACGATTATTCGGATAGTTTTGAAGGTTAAATAATTTGTGTTGCATTTAAAATAAGCTCATTGAAAATAATTTGAATGAAGATACATTGTGAAGTGAATAAAATGCCACACCGAGGGAACTAGACAAATCAAGTCTACAATGAAATTCTCCAATTCAACAAAAACTATAATTCTGTGAACAATATTTTAGATCGCAGAATTTATTACTGGTTGTTATTTTTTGGTCTTGGTTAGTTACATAATTCAAGGAAGAAACTATTTTTAGTGAATAATTTCCCTACGAAGTACTGAAGACATTAATCTTTTTCTTAAGTTGAAATTCGACAAAATCAAATGTGAAATCTCGTTACTGTTGTATCATATTGAATTATTCATTTCCGTATTTATATATTAAGTGATTGAAAGTAAACAGCAGAGTGAATCATTTTTCTTAGGATTACAGATATGCCAAATAGTAAGTAACCTAAGCTCTGAGTTTACTACTGATAGGTTCCAACCAATTAATATGTCATCTTTCGTACTAAGTTGTTAAATCACGTAGACTAGAGAATAAATTTTAAGTAGACAAATAGAATTCTATTAACATCAAGTATAAAATAGACATAACAATGACTAATGCTGAACGATCGATCAATATGTTATAATTTACTGTTTGTATACATAAATTTTTTAATTGTTTAGCCGCTTAATTTAGAACCTGAATCTCGTTTAGTTCAATGGGAAAATTCTGTATACTCATCACTTGATATAAATCGTCCAGGTGTAAGTCTAATGGGTAGTGATGGTTTCTTGTATAGCTCTGGTTGGTTTCATGGAGCTATGCGAATACATCGTTCAAGATTACCAAATTTTGATGGGAAAGCTAATTGGAATCAATTCTTGGCTACTCCACCAGATGATGTCTTTTTAAAAGGTAATTCAATTAATTCACTGTGATTTGATAAAACAATATTTGATGATAGGACTTCAGGTAAAAAATGAAGATCAAATATTACCGAAAAAATGTTTCGTCTAAGAGTTTCCTCATTAATCAATTTTACTCATTCCCGTTTGGAAATTTGAAAGGAGCATTTATCTCACAGAGTAGCCGAGTAATCATTTAAGACGAATGATAAATGAGGATTGTTTCTACACCCACTGTTTTTTAAATTATTAATGTTTTATCAAAATTCTGACATAAAGCTTTTTTTCTTTTTAAAGACAACAGATTTAGGTTAGTATATTTTCACTGTCATATTCGTTACCATTCACAATTGATTGTAACTTTAAAAAGCAGTCACAACTAAAATAGTCGGTACTAAACACTGAAGGATAAATTTATTGTTGAGAAACTAGAGAATAACTTTGAATATGATAGATGTATTAATATAAATGACCTATAGATTGATCAATTCAGTCATTTCGAAATCACGACAATCCACCCAATGTCTTATATTTATTCAATAGAGCTTTATGACTAAGTTTTACACTTTTCACTTAGTATCAGGTTAACCAATCTTCTCAATAAGTCCACAGTTACCTATCAGGTGACTATCAAACTGAAACATGTTTCGATTTATTACTTCTATAGACAGTTCAATGTCCAAAAAGCAACATGTAAGTTGTTTGTGAATGTCAAACATTCTAATTTTTTAAGTAAGGTGCATTGTCTTAGATGTCTATTTTAAGAAATTTCATAGGCTGAATTGTTGTATGTAAAAGTAGAACACTACCAGAAAGAAAAATGCCAGTGACGACTAGTTATTGGATGACAGTGAACTTTTTGTTAGTGAATATTTGATTGGAATTAAGAGATATCATAAGCAGGAGACCATATAAACAATAAATATAATCTACAAAATTTTCTAATTAACCTAGAACAAAGTAAATAGTTCAAATATAATCGTATAAGAAATGTAAATGGGACTAATGTAATGACAAACCAATCGGAATTGAGAAAAAGACTCACTATTTAGCGGGAAATTTTAAAATAAATAACTTAGAAAATAATTTCACAGAATCACAGTATGTTTACCCTTTTATAGTGGTCAAAGTGTTTAAAATGATTATCAAAAATTCTTTTTTATCATCATCAAGTAAAAGTTACAATATGGAACATGTCAAATGTTAAGTTTGTCCCATATAGATTCTATATAACACGAAAATGAATACGTTTTTTGTCTCAATTTGTTTTATTTATAGTAAACACAATCAAATCATTTAATCAGTGGTTCAGTGAACAATGATTGAGCTGGTGAATTACAAATGATGTATACGATAATGATTTCTACGCATGATTTCCCTATATTATTGTCTTATGAATTTATCTCCCGAACTCTACGCTGAAATTGTTAATAAATAATTGTCAGACGCTGGTAGATTTTCTATCAAACTATTGATAGCCATGTAAGAATAAGAAAACACAATGATATTACCGTAGTGTTAATATCGGAAAACTTATTATAAGCCATGAAAAAACTTATACAATTCCTTAAATTATATACTCTGGCAGGTTTTATTGACACAGTATTCCTGTTCTGAATTTGACCACTCCATAATTTTGTACTCAATAGTCAGGGGACTCATTCATAAATCTATCTGTAGAAAAATTAAATTTCACTATCATTTTTACTGAATGGTTCATTTTCTTCTACAGAAATACTTTCGTTAGCTATGCGAACTATCTTACCGTATATATGCTAGTTTCCTACTCTATAATATTCTTTGAACGGAATGAGTTATTAACCTACATGGAATAATGGTCGATTTTCAAAGGTCTTGCACTAGATCCCTTTTATCATAAAACTATCAACTTCACTCTAAGACAGAAAAAGGATTTTACCACACTATCGAAGATTTTATAGTTAAAAATAAATTAAACATCATTTATCTTAATATGCGTTGTTCATTTGATTCGGCTTGGTTTTACCATATGTAAGAAAAATTTTCATCCAACTTATTATACAGAGAAACTACGTGTTTTACTTTTGCGATTAGTAAATTATCTTATATAACCCATTATTTCATTTAAGTTGTACTACGCCAAATATTGTGATGAGAATTAGTGATAAATCAAGTAAACATGGAAATGACAACATAAATTGAAGAAGTCTTTATTTGAAATAAACGGAATTATGTATTCTTAGAATACATAATGACATCAATGCCAAAATTGAACTTGATAGTTTAAAATAAATTAAGTATTGTGTAGAAACGTAATAATAAATGTCTTTTTGCTATGATCTAGTGAGCAGAAAATTGTATTTTTGACGTTTTGTAACTTAATGTAAACTACTTCTTCAGTTATATATTTACTCTGACGAAATGGCTTACATCAAGTCACGAAACGTCAGAAATACGATTTTCTACTCATTGAGATATAACAAAAATATATTTACTATTAATATATATGACAGCTGGGAACAAATAATAGTGAAACATTTGAAATGTAAAGTTTTTCAAATTATTATTTACTACAATCAGACAAAATAGTTTTCACACTCACACATTTGCTATCTCATTTCCTAACTCCTTGTCGTCTAATTACTTACATTATTTCGTAGTATACTTTAAGTGACTCATTTTTCTCTATTTATCACATTCGTTAAGTGACTAAGAAAATTATTTAAAATCATCGGTATTCTACTATTTCACTCTTGACTTGATTAAATAGACTTTAACTTCAAGAATGACACATCTTGAATTTAGTTACCGATGAACATGTGATTATTATTTCAATTTTAATCAAAAGCATGATTAATAAATTGTTTTCTTCTTATTACAATCTTAATATAGAATCAACTCATTTCATCTGTGCATTTGAAACATCGGATTCTGCTTATTTCTTAATTCGTGAATTAAAATCACCAACATGTGAAGCTAGAATTCATAATCGTTTCGTACAAACATCTAGCTCTTTTGCTGATACTGATAATGTTCAATTTTCCTCTTCATCCTCATTATCATTTTCAAAGTCTTCAATAAAGACAACAATACTATCGTCAATCACTGAAACACCAGTTACACGCCTAATAAGAATATGTAAAAGGGATCCAGGTGGATATCAATATGTGAATGAAGGTGAATTTGTTACATTTAGTAAAGTGACATTGGAATGTAAATTTCATCAAAATCATCCTATAAATTATTATAATTATAAGACAGAAAATAAAAAGGAACTGTTTACTGATCCGTTACTGACTGAATTGTCTTATGGTCATTCAATATCTGGTAAATGGGATCCTTTGGATAATAAGTTATATGTTAGCTATCAAACTGGCATGTAAGTTATTGTGTCAGTTTTTTTGTAGTTTAAATCATTTGAATTTTTATTTCTCTCGAACCAAACCTGTAGACTTTAACTACATTGAGTAGAAAATAAATATAAACCGATGCTTATGGATGATGTTCCCTCGACATCGTGAATTGATTGAAACTAGAAATGTAAACCAGCGGATAACAACTCAGTAGTCTGAAGTTCAAATCTTAGCCGCACGGTTTGCGGGTTCTTCATCTAATCCTTGTTGGGTTAGTGGATGTGTACTGTTGAAAAGTCCCGTACTAAGATGCAACACCTGTCCAGCGCTCTCGGAGTTTTGCTTTTTTTTCTATCTGAAGTTAGTTTATGATGTAAATTTACAAAATATGTTTGTTTATATAGTGTAAATACTGTTTACAACTGCTTATACAAAAGTGAGAACTATTGGAAAACAAACCATTCAATCTTACCTAATTTTCGAAGGTTTTCCAAGAGTACTTCCCGTTCTTATAATTATAACAATTATGTACATACTGGTGGCTGGTTTCGAGACATGTTCCTGAAGTTATAGTTAAAATCTACGAATGACGTCGTAAACACATAAGAAATATAAGAGCTATCATCAACAGCATTATGTGCTTGTCACATTGTCTCACGAAAAGAAATAAGTTTAAAAAATTATATCATCAGTTTTAACAGTGGTATAACCGCTGCGAAAATTAAAAAATACTGGATCCAACCTCTTGTAAGATCATATGTACCAACTGTTGAAACTATAACGTCTCTCCAACTTATGCCAGTTTATGAATGAAATAAATTTAAAAAAATAGGTAACTCTCTGCCTAATGTTTGTTTTCAGTTGAGCTGGACGTAACCGTTAAAACATCGCTCGCCGAATATTCTCTGGGTTTTTAACAATATGGTTGAGATTTGTGCAAATACGTTGCATTTTATGAGCCGTGTATTCTACATGATTGTCTTTCCATTCTTTCTCAGTTGTTAGCGTTAAGTCCTTCTTTACCCATGATCCACTGACACTAGTAGAAAAATGGGTTTTTTACTACATATACTGTCTTGCGATTGGCTACTTTCCGGCTCTTACTAATGACCTAGACTTCATGAGATCTAGTCAATATCATTTGGTCCTTCGTGTATTGACTATACAGAGTTCCTGCTCTAGCCTTTTACTTTACATCGATTTTTTTCTTTGACCATTGATTGGTCTTCACTGTAATCTCTGAATAATGTTAGGTCCGTTATGTTCGGGAGATTTCCCTACAGAAAACGTTATAATTGAAGTTTGTTTATTTATTTTGTAGTACCCTATTTTACTGTTCGGCTCATACTTCGGGGCACTTGAAATATAATGGTAATATCTAGAACAGAGTACTTGATTGGGACATGAGTGTTCTGACCATTTTATGGGAGTAGTTGTACTGTCTAGTTTGACAGCTGATTAACTCACCTATGTTGTCTTTAGGATTGGTGACCTATTTTACCAACTACCACAGTGACCATTCGACAGCGAGCAAGACTTTGACAATTATTAGTTATTGAGCTTCTCTCAACCCAATGTCCAATCAGAAAACGAAGACAGAAAGCAGATTTATTGACTGTGTACCTTATTCATTCAGGACTCAATCTATAAAGTACAATGGCTCGAGTACTCGCACACAAGAAATCATAATGTTAGTACAACTAGGTCGTAATCAATAAAAAACGGGACAATAAAAAAATAATTAATTATGAATCTAGAATAATAATAAGATATATAACAACAATTTATTGATCAAACAAAAAAAAGCTTAGAGATAGGCGAATATGAATGTATAGTACATAATCCAAGTGTTTTACATCCATAGAATAAAAATATGGACAATGTATCCTCACCCTTGCTCCATTCTCGTCAATATAACACAATCCTAATTGGGTGTTACATCTTCTGAATAAAATGTTTCTATGAAATTCTCACTCAACGAGTTTGCTGATGTCATTCGTTGTAATAAAGTTTATACTATCGAAATTTCTAGAGTATTAGTTGTAATAAAGCAGGAATCTTATGTGTAAGTACACTACTTTTTATGGAAAGATACCGCAATCATATTGAACACAGTAAAATATTCTATGGTCAGTTTGAAATATTATTAATACTTCAGATTGACTTAATGACTTACTATATTCATATAAGCTGTTCTACTGGTATTCTAAAATTGATATATAAGATAATTTTCATTATATGCTTTCTTGAATTATTGCAGCATTTAAACTTAGTCTGAGCTGAAAAGAATCAATAAGTATAAGAATTTTAATTGAGATTATGAATCGATCAATGTTAAACCACCATTGGAAACCTGAGAGCACTGGAAAGCCATTTCGCCCCGGCATTGGACTCCTCAGCATTGCGCATTCACGATTCTGAGTTTTGATTCCCGCTAAATATCGGTCTGTTAAATATTGGATAGATAAGTTTCAACTAACATGGAACTGATATGTAGTGGTGAAAGTAAATGAGATTGATCATTAAGTGTGGAAAAACACAGATTCGACTTATTGACTGTTAAATGAGTGGTTTCCTTTCCTCTTATTGATTTCTATTTCTGACTCACTGAGAATGACCTCCTGTAGTTGGTTGGAATAAAGTACTGTTTAACGTTACTCTAGTACTCTATTTTTGCTCATGAATCGGGTATCTCTTATAACGCGAACTAGTCTCTCTACAGAGTATCGTCCAAGTTTCCAATCTAGAGGTATTTAAATTAAGTCACCAAGCTCAGTCTTATTGCCGCATTACCGTAGTAGTGTGTTGTACCACAGAAAGAAAAATACCGTAAATCCACTCGTCATATCAGAAACCTAGGAGATCTTACCGAATTCCTGCAACTGTTAAATATTGTCTGTCTATTAAAACAATTTATGAGCTATGGGAGATATAATATTCAAAACAGACTGTATTCGTTGAGAAACTTGGAAACAGTTGGGAAAACAATAAATAAGATTACAATACTTCTTTTTGCATTTAATATCATATTGTAAATTGTTTTGAAAGTGTTCTGCACTATATTGTGAATTAATTAATCATGAAGCCTTCATGGTCTTTCTGGACATTATTAGAGTATATTTCGAATTTTCTCTATCATTTCCTTATACAATTCGACATCCATAACATTTGTCTTACGTACCTGTTAGAACCTTTGCTTCTCAATATGTCCAATCAATAGGATCACGATACTACAGAGTCTACTAAAATCCGTGTTCACTCAAACCTATTAGATCAATAAACTTCTTAACCAATAGCACAACTGACCGCACACAATGACCGGAAATCCTATTTCACGTTTGTCCAACAGAACTGTTGTATCCTCAGTCGGCAGTCAGAACACTCAAGCAGTAAATTTTCTGTTATTAAATCTCAAAAAGCTAACAAGATTATATACATCAATTAGGAGACCACAATGAGATATAACACTGACTAAGTTAAATGACAGTTTATAATTATGACATTATGGAAATGCCACCAACCAAATATTTGGAAATTACACAACAAAAACAAATGTAACAATTCCTTATGTAACTGTCCTAAAATTTTCATCTTTCCTATATATTCGCCTCTATCTAGTAATATTCATTAAGATATTTAATTATTTTGATCAATCATTTATAAATATAGGAAATATCCTACTGGTGATGCACTTTGTGTTTATGCATTAAATGACATAGAAGATGCATTCAATAGTCAATTAGCACCAAATGAAAATTCGGGCAAAACTCAAATATTGCCAAATACTTTTGAAAATATGGTAAGTTATAGATAGTTTGTAAACTACTACAATCTCCATGCAAATAATGGTTTGTTTGTGTGTAAGTGTATTTGCCCAAGTAAATGGCTTTTATTACAATTTCTAGTAAGAATCAGTACTTAATTTTATCTTATAGATATCGATTTCAGATCACGACTTAGTATCATTAATTATATAAAACTTGTTTATGAACCCATATATATACTACTTTACAGTTTTGAGGATCCCTTTGTGAAGTTGCATTATTACTTAACAGTTAATCAATTATCAGTAGATATTGTTTTTGCTTACTTAACCAACCATAAATACACTAGCTTCTTTGATGTTGGTAACAAGATTAATAAATAACGGACATTTACAAGTTTCCAAGCATTCAATCAGAACATTAGAAAGTATTCTCTGATCTCTTTAGTACTTAGACTAATAAAATACGCGATCATATGCCTCAAATAAAAGATCCAAACGTAATACAAACAACAAATATCATTAAGGACGTAACTATTACATTTTTTCACAATCACTAACGGATTTGTATATGATTACTGTTAAGGATTTGAGTTATCTCATTGTCAATATTCACAGCTGAAATTCTATCAATTATTGTTGGGATGTTTGTACTTTGTTATGATTGACGTGATACAGCCACTTTTTCACAAATTTTTGTGTGAAATAGATAAATTATGGTTAACAGTTCAACCCAGGACTCACCTGCTATCTTATTTTGGATTCGTCATCTGGACATGCCTAGATACCATTATTGATGTCCACAACCAAACTCAAACCCAGTACTTTTCTCTCTAAACGATAACTCGTTAATTAGTGAATTAATTAGTTGACATAGCCGCTAACCCGTAAAATACATCACAATAATTATTTGGTTAAAAAATAGTTTACAATTAAGATAATATTACAATGTCATGAAATAACTACTGAAAAGTATACGAATTAATCCAACAAACTGAATGACTACTTAAGTCCTATATGTTTTCACCAGTTAGTTATCTCTTTCAAACAGCAAATAAGTTTAATATTTCCTTACTCTTGTATTACGTCATTGTATTGAATTACAATTTATTCGTATCTAAACTTTGTTTATTCAGTGTAAAAATTTGGATTCTGGTCAGCTGACAGAATCAAATATAGATAAAATACGTCAACTACCAAGAACACATCTATTACGTGTTAAACATGTGAATCCAATTGATAATCGTCCATTAATTATTCGTCCTGTCCCAGGATTACCATTTAAACAAATCAATCATCAATTAGGCTGGTATCATATAGAAATTGATCATAATGACAAGAATGTTATTTTATATTTAGCTGGTAAACAACGTATTGAGCGTTATGCATTATTTAATTTATCTACGGATGATACCATGGAGATATGTCCTTGGGATCAATTGACGATTGAAGATTTTGGTATAGAAAATGAAATTATTACAGGTATTTATATGAAACATATCAAACCAGTGAGTTTTCGAAAACATGTATACTGTGCTTATAACTGGTACCTGTTTTTTTATAGAAAAATAGTAGCTTATTTGAAGTCGATCTTCGATGAAATGCTTAATATGTGTTTGTCCGTATATCTACAGATCGGTAGTACGCAAACTTATAATTAGATCCTTAGCTGTAGTTAAGTTTCATAACAGATTGATAGAAGTTAACAAAAAAAATCAGATAACACTGAACATCCGTTACACTCTATACTCTTACTAATTCGAATTGAATATATAGGTTATCTTATACCAACTAGATGATTTGACGGTAAAATGTTCCCAGATAGACTTTAAGATCCTGGATCTGATTGGTTATTAGAAGATTGAAAGAAAACCACACACTTCGATGAAAGAACTGCCTACTATTCCCTGATTCTCACTGATTGTAAAGTTCAAATCAACTTCTTTTTAAACCAGTATCTTTAAATATCTTAAAAAACACTGAGTTGTATGAAAAAACGTACTCGTTTACCCAGAGATAATTTAATGGATAAATTTGTGACAATCTGTCCAACTTGATAACAGTTTTCACTCCTGACTAATATCAAAACTATACAAAACCTAAAAGTATCTCAGCCTGATACTATTCTCCACAAGTTCTTGTCCAGCCGTCCAGGAATTCTATGGAAGTGACTTATGATAGGAAGGTTATAAATATTTGTTGACTTGACGTTTGTTAGTTTGGTTTACTAACGTCTTTGAAATTTACTATTGAACATGATCAATACAATTAAACATTCTTGATAACGGCTAGGTGTGAAATTTAGTCGATACACTTTGATTGATTCCGGGATTTATTAGGTAGAATAATTTTTAAAAAAATCATCTAAAGATTGAAATATGGATTTTTTTAAGAGAAGAGTAAGAACCACTAGTTCTGGTTTATCATTTTCGTAGTTGATGTACAAGACTCCAGTTGATTAGTCTTTGTTGCCATGTGTGTATCCTGGGCAGATTACCTCGATACAGCGTTATGTTACAAGATTTTGAATATTTGGTACATAACTATGGTTGTTACCGCCATAAATGTTGAATACGTTATCAGTTAGTTGAAATCAATAAACCAGTGGATAACACGTTGGACGTCTAAAGTAAAAAACACTAGATCCGAGTTCGATTGGGAATCGGGTACATCCAACTGCGGATTTCCAGGTAGAATGAAACCTGAGCGTTTGATTCTACTCCTAGCCACATATCAAATAGACTAAGAATAAGGTCAGGTAGATTTGATGTTAGTCGTTTATCAAAGTATTCTGAAATTCCTTGTTAAAAAAATGTAAACAGAAAAATGCTATAATTCAAGATAGATTGATGGATATAAAAGTTAGGTTTTTTTCGAATTTCATCGTTTGTGATTACTTTGTCCCTGGACATGATAATTTTATTAGTATCAACGTGAATAACTGAAACATAGAATTGATAGCCAAGTAGTTTACAACGCTGTAGATTTTATAGAAAGCAATAACTTAAGTATGTTTGAAAGGAAAGTTCGTTATGGGCGGGACGTTTTTACATTTGTATTACTTTATTACTGAATTCACTGTATTGAAAATACAATTGCGTTTAAATGTTTACGCAATATCGTTTATCTAAACTGAACTGGATTACTTATGAACTGTCTAACAACAATATTAAAATTGGTTCGTTCACAGTGAAATTTAAAATAACTGGAAGAAAGTTTTAACATATTTTCTTTGTGATCTCAAAATGAATACCAATGGTGATATCCAGTTGTTTAGTTAAATCAACGTATTCTCAATTTGACTGCTAGACGGTGTTCAGTTTTGACGAGTAAATCATCAAATTTTATCTCTCCAAATTAATCGACCACTCCTATACTTTACTGCTATTTTGTATTCAATGATTCATATGTTCTTGTACTTAGATACATTTTCTTAAGCTTATGACGTCGAAAGAAATTCCTCATGTTCAAAGTGATATCAGCTAAAGGACAATTAAAAACAGGGATTAGTGAATAGTTGTCGTTAGTTATTATCGACTTATATCACCAAATGATTAGAGTTGAAAAATTAAGGTAGACCAATAAACATAAAATATTTCGAATCAATTCTCCTGAGTGTGATAATCAATGTTCATAGATAAGGGATTATTTATTCAAAAAGAACAACTACCAATAAGAGACTGATCCATTACAATCCTAATCATCAATAAGGAAATTCAAGTAAACAATACCAAGTGAATTTAAACTTCACCCCCATCGCACAAACAAGTGACTATCAGAACTCAGTAGCTAAGTGGATAACGAGATGGCATTTGAAGCGAACGGTACTAGGTTCGAGTTCCAGAGTGAACATCAACACAGATGCATGTATATCCAACTAACGAATACCAAATGGAACGAAACGCGTATCCTATATTCCACTGCTAGTCATTATCCATCTTTGCTTAGAATGCTTGTTAATTAAGGCAATATTGAGTCAATTCATACAGTTTGCACATATACCACTATGAGACTTATACATTACAATCGTAAACATCAATCAGAAGATTCAAGTTAAACAATACCAAGTAAATTGGAACTACCAATTATGTTTTACTTTATAATGGTACTTTAATTAACAGCGAGACTCTAATTTATGGACGAGCCTATCAGTGGCGTTTTAAAGATTTCAAGGTTACGCCGCCAACTTCCGTGCTTAATGCTAACGTACGTTCGGTTCACAGGGATTTTTGTACAAAACATGATAATTGAGCGGCTATAACAAATAAAACGGCGAGACTATAATTTGTGGACGAATCAACCAGGTATAAGATAATAGATCTCGGATTTTAACGCGAAAGCCTTTCATCCTTTTGATTAAATCAACTACTGGCATTATAGCTGATGTCAGTTCGTGATGAAAATCCTATATATAATTCCTAACTAAGGCAAATTACGACAATTATTGCGAACTGGATAATAAAAGCACCAGCAACACTGGCTGTAGCCAGGTACTACAATATATACGGATGATTGGAGAGCGTACAGACTCCCGAATAGGCTTGGTTATGTGCATCGTGTCGTTATCCACAAGTAGGATTTTGTGCACTCAACAACCGGAGTGCAAATAAACAATATTGAAGCTATGTGATCGAGGTTGAAAGAGTTTTTGAGACTTTATCATGGCTCCAGAAGCCGATTATTCTGTAGCCGTATGGATGATTTCCTCTACTGCCTGCATTATGATTTTAGAACCTCTGAACCTCTTTCTAACCTTGACAAGTTTTTGAACCACGTATAAGAAGTGTATCCACTTTATTTCCTTCGTTTTATATAACATCTGTTTATTCTATACTGACTGTTTGCTGATTGGCTAATATGTTTCAAGGTCACTTAAGATTCGTCCAAAGGTCGTCCATAAATTAGAGTTTCGCCTGATTATATATATATATATATATATATATATATATATATATATATATATATATATATATATATATAATCTTTAAATGATATTTCATTCATTTTTTCCAAATTATTTCAATTTTTTACATGGATTATTGTTTTATTATCCAATGGGGAATATATATCCAATCAATTACCTTATAATAACAATAATCATAACAGAGTAAAGAATTTTATATATTGACAAGTAAACATGTCATTCAATTACCAAAATCGATTCAATTATGTGAAACAATTAAAACATCAAGTGAATGTATCAATACAAATAGAATTTCATGTAAATGGAATAATTTATTAAATAAATGTGAAATAAATTATAAAACATTAATAAATCATGAAAATATAATAAAAACTAATTTTTATAAAAAGAAAAATGATCAAAATCAAAATAATAAAATTTTATTCAATAATATTTTTTCAAAATTTTCTACATTCAATCCAAATTTTTGTTTATTTGATAAAAATAAATTTCAAAAAAATATAAATGATCAATTAATTAATTATTGGTGGAAACATCTTCAAGGTCATTTGCAACAACAACAACAACAAGAACAGCAACAACAATACCAACAAAATGAATTAATTCAAAATATTCAATCACCAATTATATGTATGACATCGATATGGTCACCTTTATTAAATCAATATCAGAATCTTACTTGTCATTGTCAACCATGTACTGATTGTACAAATGATGAATTATATAGCATGAAAGTTATGAATTGTTATTGTAAGATTATAGATATTATTATTTTTGTTCTAATTGGTTTCTAACATTTTATGACATAAATATTCCCTATGAACTGCTATAATATGTAAACATTTCGAAATGTCAATAACAGTAAGATAGTAAAGACGAAAGAGCATTTTTTTAAATGTAAAAATAAACAGGTCTTACAGTAATATTATATAATGTGCCAAAATAATATCAAAAATAAACTGGAAATAGGAAAAAAACTATGAAGATCAAATGGAAACGTTTTGAAGTTTCAAATAATTGAAGAGCAATGACACAATGTGAATCTAATGAGTCTATAATTTATGGACGACCTTTGAGCGATGCCGAAGTGACCTTGAGAGTGTCTACCTATTTACTATGGCTAAATGACCGTTGTAAAACAGTTTGAAGAATAAGGAACATGGTTCATAGTTGACGGTTAGGGTTTGGAATTAGATTTAGCGTTTTTCATCGTGAACTGACATAAGCTAAAACTTTGAAATATTCCCATATTGTAAATTTAGAACAACATATATAAGCGAACAATATTGTTTTCGATTAGATCCTCATCAGGCTTTACTCTAATATACAGTAATATTTATATGCATATACGAAATTATTAAACCAATCAAGGTAGTTTATAAGTCAATGATAACAATGGAAAAGATTACATAATAAGTGAAATGTGAAAAGTACAAATTGATGGTGTGACAACAGGTGCATTAGTTTTTGATAAGCAATAATAATAAAGGTTCAAATCAATGTTACATAATCTGAAATAGGTCAATGATTAGAAAAATATAGAAACTGAGATAACAATTATAAAATTATAAGATGACGTAATAAGAAATGTTCAGATAATTGGACCATGAAACGTATAGTTGAGAGAAAATAAAGTGGTAGGAGGGTGTGAAGGAAAATAATAAACGAAGAGAATAAATAAATAAATAAATACATTCATTTATTACTTAAGGCCAAGAGAGAGATAAGGGAGTTACAAATTTCTTCTGGACACAAAGACTTGGCTTGTTGGCTCGGATTCCTATAGCTTCTGCTATGTTTAAGAGACGAGATCGAACACCATAAGGAAAACTAGTGGGAATCCGATAAATAACTTTGAACGACTTGTTTCAGTCGTTTCTCTTCGTTTATTATTTTCCTTCACACCCTCCTACCACTTTATTTTCTCTCAACTATACGTTTCATGGTCCAATTATCTGAACATTTCTTATCACGTCATCTTATAATTTTATAATTGTTATCTCGGTTTCTATATTTTTCTAATCATTGACCTATTTCAGATTATGTAACATTGATTTGAACCTTTATTATTATTGCTTATCAAAAACTAATGCACCTGTTGTCACACCATCAATTTGTACTTTTCACATTTCACTTATTATGTAATCTTTTCCATTGTTATCATTGACTTATAAACTACCTTGATTGGTTTAATAATTTCGTATATGCATATAAATATTACTGTATATTAGAGTAAAGCCTGATGAGGATCTAATCGAAAACAATATTGTTCGCTTATATATGTTGTTCTAAATAAGCTAAAACGCCAAAATCCAAGACTTGTTATTTTAAATCTGATTTGTTCGTCCATAAATTATATTCTCGCTAGTGAATCCTTATTTATTAAATTGCATCCTTAACATGTTTGTGCGCTGAGCTAATCATTCATAATTCCGACTTCAGTACGATGAATGAGACTTCATCTATCCTTTTCTTTTTTCCTCGATAGTTAGATTGAGAAGTCCAGAAAGAGTTCAATAACAACCAAATTTCTTCACACTATAAGCGATTATTAAGTGACTTAATTACTGAACAGTTGTTACTGAACACAAAATCAGTGAATTAATCATTGAGAAATGACTGAGCGAACATTTTTTTAATCGATATGCAAATTTTACAATTGATTTCCTCTCTCGTATTTGAGGAAATAGAATCCCTAAGAGTCCTACAAAAAGAAAACGAATGGTACATGTTCCTAGAGGGGATGCCACCTATTATGAAATTAGAATGCAAATGTATCACCACTAATATATTTTTATTCATCTCACGTAGGATTGTAAATGATGATGTTGTGGTGATGTTGACTAGATGCCAGATCATAGAACTTTAGATGTATTTTCGCCTGTTTGTGATTAGACTTAATAATTATACTGAGTTGCTTTAAATAGAACGCGTAGTGAAAAATTATATAAATATATATATATAAATATATATATATATATATATATATATATATATATATATGTCCGTCTTTATAGAATAGTTGAACTACTGTAGACTTCAAAATAATCAAATGTAATGCTTGTTCCTGTGGCAGATTATAAAACAATGGGTAGCTGAAACTTATCACTTATAATAGTGATGAAAAGAATTTTGTCCCTAAAATGTTGGATGTTCTATTCTTCATGATGTAAAAGAAAGTGCAAGGAAGTAAATCATGTCTGTTAAAATCATTTCTAAGAACAAATAAATCGTGTACGCTTTAGTTGATTGTTTAATTGGTTTTTGTAATCTTTGTGTCTCATTTCTTTTTATAGTTCAACCATCATGGTCATTCTGGTCACCATGGTCTTCTTGTTCATCAGACTGTGGTCACGGGATACGCACACGTATGCGACGGTGTGATAGTCCACAACCTGTAGAAATGAAGATTAATAATCAAAATACTAAGAAACTGATTGGATGTAAACATAGTTACGACATTCCAGTCGATGAAAATCCTTATCCACCTGAAGTTGAATTGCAAGTTGAGCATTGTCAACAGACTAATAAAGTTTGCAATCATGGTAAGTAGATTTTTTGTAAGTGAATATTTATCTTGTCTTATGTAGAACAGTTTTATATTTTATTTGAATTTTGTATGTATGAGCAGCGGATGCTAGTATTGTAGTCAAGGAGAACACAGATGAGGACAACCGGATTATATTTAGCACAAAATTACAGTCACTTGGTAAAATAGAAAAACCATACTATAATACTTAATTTACAAAATGTTCAATAATCGTCTCGAACTTCATTGTTCTTGCATTTCCATACTAATTGCTTTCTAGTCCCGCTCTTCCTTTCTTGATCTTCCCCATCTTCTGCCGCCAGACATTACACTCCTGACTCGTGTCAGATACTACTTATATCAATATAAGTAGCACGCACCATAGTATTACTGACTACAAAGTCAGATTTTAACCCCTAACTACTCTGAGAATATTGGACTTTGGGACAGTTAAAAGCTAATTTAGTAGGCTACATATAATCTTAAAACTATGGAGACTTCGAGGAACAGTTTTAAAATTAGTAACACTATAATTTTGACCTTACCCATCGTAAAAAGTGATAAAAACCTTTGGCTTCTGGGAGTAACAGAAATTCATCACAAGACACTGGTTAGCTAGACATATCTTTGTACTTTCTCCCTATCTGTTTTCAGGGATAATTGCTTTCAATTCTTGCCAGAACTATTTTGGGTAATCTTATGTTATTTGAATTAAATATACCTTATGCAAATCAGTGATCTTATAATTTATGGTTCATTGATACAAAACACAGTCGATTATCCTATCTTAATTGCCCTTCAAAACAATGCTATAACAACCAGATACACAATTGTTCCAATTACATTGTTCTAGACTAAGGATCCCCTTCACAACTAAAAGTAATTTTCAACAGTAAAACACAATAAAATATGTGACAATCCAAAGCTGGAAAGATGTTTTGTTCCAATATTCCTTAAAAGTAAATAATTTAACCATTATAAAAATTGAACCTTAAAAGTCTGTTCTAACAGTGAACCCTTAAAGTTTGATCTGTTCAGCCATATTCTATAAAGGAATATTACAAGGACGGATATATCCTAAAGTACAACATGTTTCAGTACTTTTTTTAAAAATTTCAAGCTGATTAAGATCTCCGGTAACAATTGTTTTCTTTTTTCCATAGCTCTAAATTAATGTTTCAAGCCAATTATAACTTATTAGAACATGATTTTTATCACTACTAATTCACATAACTATATTGTTAGGACGGGATGAAAAGTCATTATCACTTTTAGTATCAGAAGGGGTTTTGTGGAGATTGCGCACTGTTGAGAAGTCCCACAATAGGACGAGACGGCCATTCAGTGCTTCCAGGTTTTCCATGGTGATCTAGCTTCAATTGACTCATGATCCCAACTATTGAAATTATGACTTTTGTTCAACATTAATTCCGTTTTAATTCAATATGATGATTACTCAGTATAGTATTTGTTTTGCTTTGCCCTATGATATTTTATTCTGTATAACATACGATATTCTTGTATTCAATTGACATGAACTATGCTCAACATGTAATTTGTTATAACTAAGTACTTTTCATATATGTGATTTCATCCTAATTATTAATCAAAAAATGAGTGTATGAATCAATATATAAATGAGTGTATTTCCGACTAGATTTGTCGTGGTCATTCGTGCTTCTGGCCGCTTGTGGAATATATTTCCCATACCAGGCTTGGACTTATCTCTCTAGTTAGCGGGCTAGGATGCGTCACAATAGTAAGCTATTCTGTTATTGTGTCACAGGATCTTCATTCCGTTCTCAGATTAGGTGAACTCGTAATCGCTTCAAACATAGCATATATACGCTTAATAAGTGCACACTTATGATGTGTTCTAATGATTGATCTAATATCTATGTATTGGATTTGATGATACTTTAAAATAGCATCATAGTAACATAATAAAATTTTATTATATTGAACATTGTCTCATTTTCAGTCATAGGTTATTATCAAATACTTTGTTTAGAAAATCATAGATATTTGATACTTTTTTGTCAAACTCTTAAACTATTCCTAAAAATTCATGTTTACTGGAGAAGAATTGCTTTACCTCATCTCGAATAAATTAGTACATAGTGTTTTTTCACTAGAATCAAGTCAAATATTTCATTTATGTAATCATGCCATTAGCTAGTCGATGATCTGCGAAAGTCGAGAATATGAGAATAATTGATGATAATGTTTTTGGTATTATTTGATTATCTGAGGCAGATGATTTAGTTGTTTCACTTTCTTTGTCATTCTGAACCATACCATAGTCTAATTCATGTAATTAGAGGTCCAACTAATAACACGTTTTCGAGAATTAATTGGAAAAGACAACCAACAAGAATAGAAAGACAAATGCAGACAACTAATCACCAAAAAGACCAAAATGATGAACACTTGTGAAATAACTGAAAATTTCGCTTCTACATGAAGTAGAAGCCAATAATGTTGTACAGAATGATAATAAAAATTTCCCAATTAAATCATTTTATTATGAGAGCTAAATGACACCAAAAGCGTCCACCATATCAAAATTGTATTGATTCACAATTTTATGAGTAAACAACTAAGTTGTTTCATAGTTTGAGGTAATCTGAAAAATCACTATGAACTATTAACTATTGGAAGGGTTTAATATTATAATTCGGAACTCCCCAGGAACGTGAACCACGATCTAGCACAAGGATGAACCCAGGAACTTCAGACACTGCTACTAGAACGATAAATTTAAGGGGCTTGGTCGTAATCAAAGACATTAAAATTACCGAATTCAGTCTATTTGTTATATAGTGACATTTTCGTGTTATGCCACTATTGAGTTAATACATTACTCCCAATCTGGTTAACTCTGAGATTACAGTTTTTCATTAGTTACTCAGGAAACTGCATTTTCAAGCTGACTATCAATAAGAACATTACCATCACCATTCAGTAGGATGGTTCTGTAAAGAGTGGTGTACATCTGTAACGTATATTTTACTGCTTTTATGAAAGGAGGGGTGGGTAGAATTTCAAAATTATTCATAAATACGGGTATAAAAAGCATCTAAAATATAAAAATATTTATGAAATATTTAACCTAAACAGTATGACTTATTAGAGAACAAACAAATTGATCTGAATGAAATACAAGGTCACAAAATTACTATCATTAAAGTATCAAGTTTTTTTTATTACCTAAACTGAGAAGTTTAGTCTAAGTGCAGTTAACAATAAATGCTAACGAAAAGTGTTCAAAGTGATATGAAGATACATTCACATAACCCCTTCTTTTCCAATATCAGTTCAAAAATAACGATTCATGATAAATAATATTTTGTATCCCTTCAAAAGGTGATTGATTGATATTTTCGTCTTTCTTTCTTTTTGTATCCAAATTAACATTTATTCCATAATTAATAACAATAATAAATCATATAGAAGTTTCTTCACCAATCCTCTTTAAAGAGCAAACATATCATTTAGGTGAAACTTTTCTAAAATGGAATGATTGGAAGGATTGTTCTACTAAATGTGGGATTGGTATAAAAACACGTAATTTAATTTGTTCAACAATTATCAACAAATGGGATCAAAGTGATACTTCACAATGTTCTATTGTGAATTCTGAAACAATTGATACAAGAATTTGTGAGAATTTCACATGTCAACGTAGGTAGTTTTATACGATTTAAGTGAATTAATAACGTTTTTTAAAGATTATTCTGGTGAGACTATAATTTATGGATGACCTTTGAGCGACGCTAAACTGACCTCGAGAGTACCCACCTAATAACTAGGACCAAACGATGGTTATAAACCTGTGTGAGGAATTAGAATTATGATTTACAGTTGATGATTAAAGTTAGAAATTAGATTTAGGGTTTTTCATCATGAACTGAGATCAGTTAAAATGCCAAAACTTTATTTAGCCAAATCCATGAGTGAGTTTCACGCCAAAATTCGAAACTTTTTATCATATACCTGGTTAGTTCATCCATAAATTATAGTCTCACAGAGAAGTGAAAATTTAATCAATGAAAGGAACTTCATATTGTCATTGATTTAATAAATTGAATATTGAATATTATTCGTAAAATAATTATTCTAAGATATATGAGATTCATAGAGAATTAGTTCTATCTTATTTTAAGATTGTTAATGCAGTGAAAGATTGAACAATGTTATACATTAAATAAATAAAGACTATATTCATATTTTACTTGTGAAAATGATCTTCAATCGTTAAAGAGTAGATTTTTTGGGATATAATAATAAATTGTACTTTCAAGATTAATATTTCAACGAATGTTCAGTTTAACATGAAATCAACATGTGAACTACTTTTAGTGGCCCGTGGATCTGACTTCAGTTAGATCGTATGAATGTTTGTTATCGCCTATCCTCGTATATTATCATCGACTTAAATCGCGTTAATCAATAACGGGTTTCGATAAATCAAATAACGAGAATGGACTTGTGATTACCTATATTTCTTATATAAAGCGAATGGAGTAGAGAGAAGAGGAACGACGCAGAGTGGAGATGACAGGTAAGCCATCTCCCATTTAACCAAGTGTTGATCAATATTTATAGTTACACAAAAGTAAGTTACAGACATGTGATAAGTAATGAGATAAGAAGTGTACACACAACTACGCGTTCATATAAAAACAGTCAAGATTGATAAGCGAATAAATAACAAGGTCAGAATGTAACTCAAGTAGAATGAATGAAATTGTCTGTCCGAAACCTAGAATAAGGTATATGAGCTTAACATAATAACCGGCACTACATACTGTTTCAGAATAGTGAGTTAATGGTCCAATACTATTATCAGAGCCTAATTATTTTGATACTGGTCGATTAACTTTGAAAACACAGCTGGGATTCAACAAAGAAATTTGTATTATTATAATAATCATAAATTTATCAGTGGTTTTTTTAAATACGAGAATCATTTATACTGATGATACCTACCTGGCTTTTTAAATTTACTTATTGACATTCATCATATTAAGAGGAATATAAGTAACGTTTTAACAATACTGAAAATCATATGAGGAAAAAAGTAGGAGATTCAGAGGATTTATTTAAAATCTCAACAACATATTGTAGTTAGTCATCTATCTGACTAGTATAATCAAATCTTTTTTACATGAAATGTACTATAAATATTTCATAACAAGGGCATTTCGTTATATTAGAATAATTTTAGACATTTAAGTAGATGAGCGCAATGCTAGAATCTTAGACACACGTCATTTTACACAGTGTAGTGGACGCTACTTAGAAGATTGTTTGTAAGTAGTGTGTAGTGGAACGTGGCGTCGAATTTGCACAATTATCAGACGGAGCGAAGAGTTTCCTTGGATTGAAGGCATGGTGTTGATAGAACACTTGGAGACCAGACGAGTAGGCAGACCAGATAGCAAAAGATACCAAAAGAAGCAGATAGACGATTTAAGGCTATTTATATGTCCCCCTGCCCATTGTCTTGTTCTATAAAAGTGTATGGCTTATCCAGAATGGATTTAACATAAGATTAATTACATTCGATATTATAACTAACAATGATCAACCTGTATACTAAAATCAATGAATAAACTGCTTGATTTCAAAAACTACCATAATTAGAACCAGATAAAGGGAGAATTTACTCTCACCGTTACTCCTCAAATTTTGTAAATGTATTCTGGATAGAGCGCATCTTAGTTTATCTTACACAGCTAATCGTTCGATGAAGAGATCTGCAATTAAATAATATTCACCTTACGAACATGTATATAAAGTCAATTGTAGTTATTGACTGACGTATCTATGTCGATGTAGTGAATGAGTGGTTACGCTAATCTATATAGCTGGACAAGATCCATCAATGAGAACCCTGTAATATTTTTCTATCCCATCATCATCGACATCATCACTATATACATATTTTTAATTATACAGAAGAAATTGTTCACTCAGAATGGACACCTTGGTTAAAAGTATTGCCTAATAATCCATGTATATTAAAGTATACAACAATACCTGGTCGATTAAATTCACAAGTATATTATGAACAACGTCTTCGTCATTCATGTAGTGTACCATTTGAAAAAGCTAATGATTTACAAATTGTTAGAACACAAATCGTTGAAAGAAAATGTTTCAGTATTGATCAAAAGTGTTCTAGTGTATCAAGTAAGTGTGGTTTTTGTGTGCGTATATGTGTATTTAGTTTCCTTTTTACACGACATAATCTAACAAAAATTATCGTACTATTAATTCATTGCTGTAATTACGTCTAGTGTGAGAGTGGAATGTTATTGTAATGAGAATGGAGCATATATTTGAACATTACATTAGGGTAAACATTCTTAAGCTCTTACGCCTTTTACCTCTCGTGATGGAGCATAGGCTGCGCACCAGCATTTTCCATTTCATTCTGGGAAATACTTTCCAGTTCTTCGCAGTTGCTATTCATCCTTTCCATGTCTGCTTCCAATTTCCGACACAATGTGTTCTTTGGCCTCCCTCTTTTCCGTTAGAGATTGTCTCGTGATGCAGTTTCATGATTCCCGTAATGTATGTCCCATCCGCATCTAGCATCATTTCCTACTTTCCTCTTCAGTTGGAAGTTGGTTTGTTCTCTCCTACAGTAAGCTGTTGCTGATGGTATCCGGCCAACGAACATTGAGTATCTTGCGTCGACAACTGTTTGGAAATACTTGTACATTTTCGATGGTAGTTGTCGTAGTTTTCGGAGTTTCAGCCCGCTATAGTAGAACTGTCTTGACGTTCGTATTGAAGATTCTGACTTTTATATTGGTTGACATTTGTTTTGAGTTTCACATGTTGTTGGGTTGTAGGAATGCTGACCTTGTTTTGCTAATCCTTACCCTAACACCTTGTTCATCGATGATGCTATCCAGGTACGTGAACGTTCTCACCACTCCCAGAGTTTTTCCATCAAGTGCGATTGAGTTGGTTGATATTTTCTGTCTTATATTTGAGGATTTCGCCTTTTTCTTTGTGTATGTTGAGGTCTACTGACACAGAGACTGCTGCTACACTAGTTGTCTTGACCTGCCTTTGTTGGTGTGTATGGGATAGAAGGACCAGGTCATCTGTGAAGTTTGAATCATCTGGTTGCATGCAATTTGTTGATAGCATTCTGTGCTCCCCCTCATATGTTGAGGTCTCAATAATCTGTTTAATCACCAGAAGAAAGAGAATGGAGGAGAATAAGCGGCCTTGTCTGACTCCGGTCCTCACTTGGAATGAGTTTGCTATCTGTCCTCCATGCATGACTTCTCTGTGCAGTCCGTCGTATGAATTCCATATGATGTTGAGAATCGTCTCAGATACACCAAAGTGTCGAAGGAGGTTCCATAATGTTCTCCTATTCACACTGTTAAATGCTTTCGCATAATCAAGGAAGTTGGTCTATAATGACGAATTCCATTCAATTGATTGTTCAACAATTATCCGTATTGTCGTGATTTGACCTGCGCACAACCGATGCTAACGGACTCCGGTCTGTTGATATCGAAGCTGGGTATATACTGAATCTTTCATCCGGTTCAGCAACACTGTGTTGAAAACTTTTCCCGATAATGATAGTAGTGTGATGATAATGTGATTCCTCTGTAGTTCTCACAATTCTTAGACCTCATTTTTTTGGTATTTTTATGAGGTGCCCTTCCTTCCAGTGTGTTGGTGGCACTTGTTCTTCCTCTCAATTCTGATTGATTAGGAAGTAGAGCATGTTTGCAGTTACTTCTATTTCTGGCTTCAGTGCTCCAGCTGATATGTTGTCTGATGTCGCTGCTCTCCCACTCATGATTTGTGTGATGACCATCCTGATTTCTCCAACCGCTGGTGGAGTGATATCTATAGGAAAGTCTTTGTGTGCTGCTTCGATGTCTGGTGGATTCCGTGGGGCTGGTCTAATCCAGAGTTCTTCAGCGTGCTATTTCCATCTGTTCCTCTGTTCCTGAATCTCAGTGATCGTCTGGCACTCTTTGTCCTTGACCTATCTCACTGATTTACTGCATTTTCCTGCTAGTTTCTTCGTCGTGTCATGTAGTTGTCTGATATTTCTCTCGCTTACAGCTATTTCTGCTATCATTATTAGGTTTTCCACATTTTCTGCTTGTCAGCTCTAATGTTCCACTTCCCTTGATTATTTGCTTCAGTATATTCAGCTAGTGCCCTGAGTTACTCTTTTCTTATTCGGCTATTGTAAATCGATTTATTCTTGTTCTTAATTTCTTCAATTTTTTTCCGGCTTTTCCGTAGATATTCATTCTTTATGATGGTGCTTTTTGCGACTCACAACTTCCTGACACGTCGAAGTTAATGCTTGTTTGATCTTTTTCCATTTGTCCTTCATCGTGGTTTTCTCTTCTTCGAGTAGACCCATGTAGCTTTGTGTATGCGCTTGTGGGGGAAAATAGTGCCTCCTATAAACATTTTGTTAAATGCAAATGAACTTGCAAATCGTACACCATTCTTATTCTTTTCTCCCAGTCAGTCCATGTCGTCTCATAATATCTTCATACTCTCTGACTAGTCCGTTTTGACTTTGGTGTTTAGGTCTCCCATCAGGATGGTCAGGTTCTTTTCCTAGACACTTCGTTATGACCAAATGTAGCCCCTCATAAAACTGATCTTTATCATCTTCATTGCCATCATTGATGGACGCATAGCACTGGATAACATTCATTGTGATTTCCTCCTTGCTTGTTTTGACTGATGCTTGGATGTTCCTAAACGTATGAGATTCCCATCCAATAAGTGCTCTACGTGGTTCTTTGGACAGCATTAAAGCAACTCTCCGAGTGTGTGGAGAGTTTTCTTCTCCATGACTACAGTACAACACCATCTCTCCCGTATCTAACCTTTTCTGTCAACATTGAGTTCAATGCGTTCCAGTGATTCCAAGAACAGACATGTTGTATTTCCTCATTTCCACGGCAATTTGACTGGTCCTCTCGATCTCCCACATTGCCCTAACATCTCATGCACCTATATTAAGTGTTGTCCCGGTTATTAGAAGGGGCATTGGTCTCGTGGCTTTCGAAGAATCTCGTCTTTCAACATGAGTCGTCATAATAGTTCTGAGTGACGATCTTTGAACTCAGAGGACAGAGTTTAAATGGTTTAATTTGTTTATTCTGTTTAGCTACGTTTTGGCAGGATTGTTTTCTACGATATGGTGTTGCTGACCTTAATACCAACCGTGCTCCTTTACCGGGTCTTGGGACCGTCGGTAACTGTAGAAGGGCCACATGAAGAATTACTAAACATTCTACCGTTTATTAGAAGACCTTATCCGCTCAAGTTGAACACTAATCATCTTTCATTAGACGTGGAATCAGTATTTTAATTGTAATCTATTAGCTTGATAGATGTATTCTGATTTGCATGATGAAAATATTCATTATCTTAAATTTAGGCAACCTACAACAAGTGAACCTGTTTAATTTTAGTATGAATATGAGAACTTAGTAAAACATGGTAGTGTTTCACATGACTGGACGTAAGAAAGTAATTTATTTTAAATCATTTGATTAAAAGTCCGCCAAGTTAAACATTTCGTTCTAAAAACTTTATTTCATTCATGAAACATACTGAAAGTTTTTGTGATGAGCAGGACAATTTTATTTAAAGCTCTTGATTGTCATCTTGGATGACCTCAAAAGATATTATCTACTTTGATTTTTTAAAGAAATATTTGGCGTTATCATACTGAAAATAGTTGAGCTACGGGAAAACTTCCTTTCAGTGTTGATTTGATCGCTTTACGAATTTCATCTGAAATCTCCTCTCCTCTGAATCTAAAATGGATGAAGACAGATTTTTTATTAACAGTTATTTTTCCGAACTTTCGTAATCATTATTTTCTTCTCTATAATCGATTTCTTAGGATATCCATTTTTTATAAGAAACTTCAATGTGTGCTATTTCTTCCACTATTTTATCGGTTGAACACAACCATCTAACTCTATTAAATAAGGCTTCAACTAAACAACGTTTGTAAGCAACAGAGCGAAAGCCATTATAGTAGTTTGAGTATTACTCTGTCGTTAACGTACATTCTGTGGAGTATTATGTCATTAGTTTCATGTTTGAGTTTCATCCATTCAATGTTAGTCATAATGATGTCGGCCAAAATAGGATCTAGTGGTGATCTCATGGACGCTCCACCAATTTGTTTATGTAATTGATTTGAACCTCTTTTGTTCATATTAGTAGTAAGTCTCTCAACTCCTTTTGGAACAAAGGAATGAATTCGGAGTACTAGCAATAGTACTTATAGTCTCTTATGTTGGCATGCTTTTACATAATGAACAAACATCGAACGACATCATAAATTTACCTGATATATCCACATGATCAGTTTCTTCAGAGGACTGAAATCTATCTTTTAAGGTATGAGTTGTCATTTCTGTGAAAATCAGTTCCAATTATTTTGCTCACTATCGAACTGAATTATGATACAATGAATTTATCATTGTTGGGGATATTTGATTTTTGAACTTGGTGACTTTGGTATTGATTTTTGTGGTAAGAGCTACCAAATCCTACAGATATCTCTTTTACAAGTATTTCGTAATAAGTTGCGTAAACACATTTATTTCGTGACCTATTCTGCTTTACAAAGGATAATCAATAAATGTTGTATATCGCTTTGTATACACTCATCTCTATTTCTTTATTTCTTCATCATAAACTATTATCTACTGTTTGGAAGTTATTTAAAATGAACACAAGTTTTAACATCACCATTAACGTAAAAAATCGAAGATCATTTCAATGTTCGTCTATTTTTTTTCAAATAGCTGAGTTGTGAATCTTCAGTGACTGAAGTGACTAGAATATTTTGTTTACCTGTCAAACCTGTTTACTGCTATGGTTACGGTGGAAGTAAGATAATGGACGTTTTGTTTAAACAAACCAATACTTAGTCAATCAATCCATCAAGCCACTGATTACTGCTGGGTTATATAATTTGAAAATGAAATCAGTAAGCTAGATAAATGAATATTACCCAGCCCATGAACTCGTCTGAAACATAAGCTTAATTACACTTAATTTTCAGTTAAACTGACCAGTCAGTAAAAACTAGAATTATTTTACAACTGTCTCTCATGTTATTTTACAGACATAATAAACAGTCAAACTGATGAAGAAAATAGAATTGTTTCTGAAACAACTGAAAGATCTTCTAACTCAATCTGGTCACCATGGAGCGAGTGGTCTGAATGTAATCAAAATTGTATTCCGTTAGAAAGTATTTCGTCAGCTGACCAACTAGATAAACAACAGACAAAGTTTTCCAGTACCATCCTTTATACCTCGAATCAATATCAAATTCGTACACGTAAATGCTTATCTAGTGCGTGTTCACAAAATAATCGTTTAGATGCTGTTATTGATTTACGCAGATGTCCTTCCAAACCAGCATGTAAAAGTGGCTGGTCATGCTGGTCTGATTGGTCAAATTGTTTCTCGACGAAATATGATAAAAGGAGCATCAAGTCTCCATGTAATTGGCGTGACGATGGGAAATCAACACGTACACGAACTTGTATACTAACACCATATGATCAAAATCCAGAGAAACAGAAAGTAATTTGTAGTGGATATGAACAAATGAAAAAGCAATGTATTTGGTTTGGTGGTGATCAAACAGAGTGTTCTGAGTGTAAGTAAGAAGATCGTCTTGTTTATTTAATCAGCAAAATTATGTATTTTTGTGTGAAGAATCTAAAAAAGAAATGCGATTTGTATATTCTGCAGCATAAATCAAGGGTTACAACAATAATGAGCAAAGTAATTCAGCAATTCGCAGTGACTAAAGTGCTAATTAGATGAAGATTATAAATATCAGTTTCATGACCTTTTCGTAACAGATGATTCCTAAAAATACTCCAATTGATAACTTTTGTCAATGGACTGACAGTTACTTTTATTACATGGTTAGGTGATCCCTTCGAATGGTTCTATTTCACTTATAATTATGTATGGATATCTGTTAACGGGAAACTAGTCATGAATATTATTTTAAAGTCTGCTCTGACTTAATTTCGAAGGTGTAAAATATTTTCTAACTAAATAGATCCCAATTATATTCACTAAACTTTTCCTTCGTTGCTAGTACCGTAAATAAAATTCACATAACCCCAAAAAGCCAGTATTCATCAGAGATTTTCGATAGGCTTATTCTCTATTTAGTCCGGCTTGAGGAATATTGGTAGCATTTATGAGAGTAATAGGAATGTGGTTGAATATTACTCGTACATACTACATATTTTTCTGATCAACTTTCAACAATATAAGCCTCTTTAGGATAATAACTCTGCCTTAGGGTAAGGCTTCAACTTCGAAGTGAACATTGAGCATTTCTATGAAATGTTGACAAAAGATAACATTATAAAATGCTCTAATTCCCTTTTCAACAAGAATTAATCCTACTCACTATATAAGACGTTATAGTTAGTTAAGGATTTTTTAAAAATTAATTGTCTAAACACGTTCAGTATAGTTTACACTGTTTAAGGTCAGCTTTTTTCAACCATATTTTTCAAAGAATACCGTTTAGATTAATATATACTTTAATGCATATCATAATCGATCTCATCTTAATTTCCAGTTAATTTAACCGGCATATATTCCGATATTCCAATTGATATAAACACAAATTATCATAAAACTTCAGTTTGGAGTAGTTGGTCCACTTGGGCATCATGTGGATTGATACAAACACAAACTAGTGGAAATGAACTTCAATTTTCCGAAAATTCATTGGACCCAACAAATCCACACCTACTTGCTGTCCGAAGAAGAGAATGTCAGTTAATTAATATTGACAATAGTGAATTATATGCAGTGGATAGTCACAGAACAGTTTGTTCTGGTTCATGGAATCAAATGAAAACTTGTCCTAATATGGCACTGAATATTGCAGGAGGTATGCTTATTCTATGTTATGACTAAAGCAATCATTATCCTTATTAATTGCTTCGATTCTCCTTGTAACACTGATAGTTGATAGACTTAACTGCAACATATTTATAGCTCCAGTAAATGAAGTTTTACTCACTGCTTTTCACTGATACTGGAGTTTTATACAGATGTGAAAGTGTCCAAGCTAACAATGTAGACTAAAAACAGATTGCTAGGTTTGTAGAACCTTGAAAAAGACTTCAAATTATTGCCATTCTGTCCAACAACTACGTCAACTGAGATCGTAAAAAATTGTTTTACAAAATTCAAGGTAGCTCAATATGACCTTCAAAATGACTTCCAGTTTTGCTAGTGCACTTGTCCGATTCCTGTTTGTGCTGTTCAAAAAACCCAAGCTAGTCCTTAGAAATTAGGTGCTTCATATTTTGCTAGAACTGTTTGCAAAGAAGATTTTCCGAAGTTCAGATCATCAGAAACCATCCGATCAGCATAAGAGGCCTCACACAAAGTTTTTGTAGACACGACAGATCAACGGTCGTCGTGGATAGTTCTCACTTAAACAACAGATCTATTAAAGAATGGCTGTTATCTCCAGTGCTTTATATCTCTAAACACCCTTCAACGCCTCGTGAATTTCCTGGGAATATCATCAAGTTTCGGTCTTAGGTCATTGTCCCGTTTGTTCATCAATCTCTATCGTCAAGGTCGCTTCCTTAAGGTCTTTACAAGACAATCAGTTTATGAAATATGATTAGATGTAATTATCATGGGAATAGGAAACAGATATCGGCAGTCAATTTATTAAGTCAAAACACATCCCTAACAGTACTCCAAGTTGCAATAAAAGTAAGTAATTAAAAGGTAACAATGATAATTACAAATAAATTAGTACTTTAATTGGTTAACAGCTGAGTAAAGATAAACGACTAAGGTCGGGGTGATTAAATTTGTCAGGGATTTATGTGGAGTTTAATTATTTATGTCTGGTTGTGTGTTTGATAAACAGACTATGTATAAATGATGCAGTTTACCTGAATTTCCGACAAGACCTCGAGTATGATCTCATGACTGAGTCATTTTTTCTGTTTGAGAGCTCAAACAGTACCATACCGCTTGTACAAATTATATCAGTGACACTTGTAATGGGATGGAATGGAATGGAATTTGTATGTACAGCAGCAGTATGAGAATCAAACATGGTAGCTCTGATAGATGGTTCAAGTTGTATAGATGTCACATTTTTCATCTGTTAACACACACACAAATACACAAACATATCTCACATAAATTACCTTGACCAGAGTAACATGACATTGACATGGTCAGACCTGTTTCTTGATTGATAGTACTAAACATTTTTGCTTTTTTCCTCTGTACTATTTAAAGTCGGGTTAATTTAAATTGTTTATTCATTCTCTGATGAAGTGACTTACACTGAGTCACTAAACGTCAGGAAATTTTATTTTTTTACTCAATAGGATATTAAAAATATATCACTTTTGTTCATATTAACCTGTCCGATGCTCAATTCATTTGAAATCGCCAAGTCAAACCTTGATAAATATATCTAAAAACTACCAATTGTTTTAAAATAATGCACTATTTATTTTTAATACTTTCATGTTAAAAATCTTCTTGGGTCGATAAAAGTATGAGTTAATAGCGATATAAATCAAAAGAATAATTTCCCTATCAATTTCTTGTCCACTACTTTGAATACTCATTGCTACAAATTTCAGATCCAACTGATTAAATGCCTTAAAAATGCATTCGAGGTCGAAAATGGTCGAAACACTGTCTTGGCTTTTTGAGATATAGAATATTATGTTGAAGTGATAAGTATGATTTTAGTGTAATGTTATTCACTTAAAAATGCAAGAAACATGTGGCTTATCACGCTGCACAAATTACAGGAGGAGTAACTTTCAACAGCTATGATAGAATTTCTTACTGAAATGTAGGTGAAATCGGGGGTAGACAAATTTAAGCGAAGTAAACCTACTACTTATTAATATCAAGTAACACAATTCAATAACATAAACTTTCATGCCAAATATTAATGTCATAACACTGGCTCCATTTAATCTTTCATTGTTTAATTTAGTGTTTGGTCATGTGAACAGAAAAAGGATAAAAAATAAATTCACAACTCTTCATATAATCTTAATTGGTCTGCTGAGTTTTGTCGCCGGGATATTAGTGGCTGGTGTGGGAATAATTATTTACCATAGAGAATGTCACAAACGATATTTGACTAGAAATATTTATGGTAATAATAAAAATAACAGTATCAGTAAGTTAAAAAGTGGATTAGTTCTTGAAGATGATATAAATAACCTACATCCTAATCATTTGAACTTTTCACCGCCACCTCAGCCAATTCTAACTTTGCCTATACCAAACATTGTAACATCATCTATAAATGAGAATTCACTAAATTGTGGGTACCGAAAAGCTAACAGTATTGTTTACGATTCAGTAGCTTCACAAGATGGTGTTACGTATTTAGAGCCAAATATCAATTATCAGCAAAAGTCCAACAATGATCAACCGAACGCATATAGTAGATTTAATTATATACCTGATTCACGTTCAAAAGATGAAACATTTAGTAGAAGAGAAACAACAACTGCGGCCAATAAAGTAGATGGTATGTTGAGAAACGATGGATTTTGGAGTTATCCTCGTTCAGATCGAGTTATAACACCGTCAAACCCACTGAATTTTAATGAAGACAATGTTTCTAACTTACCTACTCAATATTATCATGATACAATTGGTTATCAACTTCGTCATCATCATCAACACCATAATTCCAATCCGGCTTCACAATTTTATAGTACAGACATTGGTCATTTGCCGCAATCAAAAGATAATCATGATGACTACGGTAAATATCTAGACAATTCTCTATCCCCATCACCTTCAGGTTATAAACCGAGTGAAATTTTCAAACGAATAAACATCGATACGGTACAACAGTATTCACAGTCTCCTATATTAATTCCTCAAAATCATCCTAAATACCGAAGGAAATCTCAGATTCATAATCAAACTATAAGTACAATATCAACACAATTAGAACCATGGTATGCCTCAGCTGCTATCGGTTTACCGAACAGTAGTGGTAATAGTAATAGCAATCGTCGATTAATGTCGGATTATGGCACATCACCAATGGATATGACGAATACACATCAATATCGTCATGAACATGTCGTCAGTCATGATGAAAATAATGATAACCACCATGAGGAAAGCTTTCGATTCCCGCCCAAAATGCCGATCCTATCTGAAAGGCATAAATTATATGATGTCAACTCACAGTCTAGATTGATACCATCATTGTCAGTATATTCACATCATTCTTATAGCTCAAACTTTTTAGATGCCGATAATCGATCATCTGTATGGAGTGGAGGTGAATCAATTCCCTTCGAAAGACCATCTAATCCACACTTAAGAGAACCAAATGAATTTTTTGAGCAACAGTCACCTTCATCACAACTACTTCCCTCCCAAACACACCCGCCTCACATTACATCGGAAGAAATTCCTTCCTCTGTACCGGTAACAACTTATTGTATAACACCATGAACTTTGGAGCATGGTGATGTTTATTTTTTTAATGACTATTTTTAGGCTAACAGACAAAACATTAGGCTTTTATTTTAATTTTTCCTAAATTTTCTTCTTCCCTCATACCTTCAAGTCTAAATAACATTAAACATAATACTGTGCACTTATAGCATGAGTAGTTATTTGTATTTGTGAAAGGTTGTAAACATTGAATTGTGCATAGATTTATACGGTTATGCATAATTTGTATTTAGTTATGATAAACACAAAGTTTAGTTCGTGAAATAATATTAGATAATTCATGTTCTTTAGACTTACCTACAAAATCACTTTACAGGTATAATGATCTGGACATAGAGTTTGAAAATGTATAACTATCATATCTGATATGGAATATTAAGACTAAATTAAACACCAAGTCAGCATACAACAATTAAAATTAACGCAGTAAAGATAATTGTGCTTAAAAGTTTCGCAGTTTGGCTAGGAGAATTCTAAGAATTGGTTTAATTTGAAAGTGGATTTCATCACGAACTGATATCAACGGGTGAAACATTGAAAATGATGAAGCAGAAAGCAATCAACTTCATCATCATGTGAGCCAACTACTGATCAGCTGACAATCCACAACCCCACATTGAATTAAACCCAACATCTTTAATCCCCTAGCTAACAATGATACATTTTGATAATGCAATGAGAAGACGAAGTTTATCAGAATTATGTGATATACTTGCGCAATACATTTCGAACAATCTGATCACACATACACTTGTTAAGAACATTATATATGAAAAGTAAAAGGTCAACTAGACAAGTTAAGGGTAAGTCATAACAAAGGAAAAAATAATAAAGTACACAAAAACAAAAGTGATTACCACTCTGGATAATAAATCGATATTACCAGGGTAGATTAAGTATCAGTCAGTCAGTCAGTCAGCGACAACGTAGGACCAGGCACATTTATGCATCGGTCCAAGTTGCCATACATCATTAACACAACAAGATGGACACCGGATTCGTAAAAGTAGTTAATTCAAAGGTGGTAATATACAGAAGGAAGATTGCAATAAGGATATAGTACACGAAGAAAGAATTAGTTCATAGAAAGAAAGATATGAAGCAATTTTAATCTCTTAGTTTAAGGGAAGATAGTGTATACACCTACGCCATTGTGATCGATTCTGAGCCATGTCACCAAGAGTCTCAAACCATTGGTTACGATAGTCACGCGGACCCCAACCAAGTAGTATGCATCTACAAATTGTTTTTGAACACATAAAGGGGGTTTCAGTTTCCGTATAGCCTAGGCTTCAATAAACCTTAGTATACGTCCTTGAAGGCTTTTGTATAACACTACAAATGCTGATTTGGCGTCAACCTTATGACCCGTCTCAATCAAATGTTTCGCAATAAATGATGATGTCTGTCTATCCTGCGATTTTATTTGACCATTGGAATCCACTTCTCATACTAGTTAGTGATGCAGTTGTTTATATTTTCCGAGATCAGTCACTTTGTGATAATGTTCAGTTCTCATTCGACGTCAGTGATAAATTTATGTTACACTGACTTTTATTGGTTCTTCGATTGATGTCAGTCTGTTTCGCAGTGTGTTTTACAGTTAACCCAATCCGATATTGGTAGATTTTGCATGGCTGTCATATTCCAAATGACCTACATTAAAATCATTATCACGTATTCCGTCTTGTTAAAATTATCCACTTTCTCTTATAAAACAATTCTCATTTATTTTGGAGTTTCTGTTTTATCCCATTAGTTATTCTGTATATAATTATAGGAATTTATGAATTTCACAAGTAACTATACCACATTAATCTAAGAAGATTAAATTAACGGGTTAAGTAATAAAGAAGTTCAACTAATAGTTATATTACTCATAGTGACAAATACTAAATTTAGGAAAATGCTTTAGAAATAAGGAATGAAGATAATGTATGTATCAAGAAATAAGGAAATTCAAAATCTAGCTAAAGATAAAGAGTGAATAAATCTAAACAATATTAATAATCTAAAGCTTTGTCATCCAACGTTTACAGTCACTGATTTGAGTTATCATACGAACCCCAACCAAACAATCTAGATGTGTCAACACAACTCAGTAAACTGGTCAATAATTTCATGGATTGATGTCACTTTTGTTTTGTTACGAGTTATGTTGACAGATGCGGACTACCTAGTTGCGGTCCGTGCGATAACTTCAATCAGTGATCAGATACTTTGGGCGAGACGTTTCAAAATCATTCATGATGGCATATACGTTTCTGCTCTTAATCTTCCTTCTGATCTTGAATCCCGGTATTTCTATATAATTCAGTTTGGTAATTTGTCGCTTTCTGTTAATATGGTTTGGAAACTTGACCAATGCAGATTTGTGCCAGGCTCTACGTTAATGACGTTTGACTTGTTGACTCACTTATGTTAAACCAAGGTTACCTAAACAACCATAGGCTCTTCTGTTTATTCTACAGCATGCTGGACAAATGTGAGGCGGAAATAGGTGACTTTTGAGAGATACATTGCTTAAATCATTCTATCTTGTTTAGCTACATATTCGGCAATTGTTTTAGACTACAAATATCAGAATTCCGAATTAATACTAAAAGCGCATAGCAAATCTATTCATTTCAAATATTATGAATTGGTTTATCGTTTTATCCACTAAAAAACAATAAACAGTTGACTTTACTTCAAATGGTTATACTGGAAGTTTGTTATACAATTACTTAAGAAAAACGTCAATGAAACATTAATTACAAAAACAAAAGATGACTTTAAGGCCGCTTAGTAGACTGACAGTAAAGAGAGATTATGAGATTTATTGAAGAGCATAGTAATGAGGCAGCTTAAAATGTTCATTATATAACAGCGTTTTGGCCCTAAATCAGTCGTTAAATCAACATCACGGTTAGTAATCGTAATTTTACTAATAATTAAGGCGTATTAGGCCAAAGTAATTTGGAGTGATATGTAATTATAATTTTTATCTGGCTCAAGAACCTACATACTTTTGTTTCATACTATTCTGGCAATCCAAAAATTTAAAAAGTAGGTTCAACACTAGAGCATAGCTACATTTAGACACTTAATAGCACTAAAATAACCATCATTTTACTAGAGTATCTCTCAAAAGCTTACCACAATTCCACCCGTTGAACTTAAAAGTGTACTCAAGTTTAAAGACATACAAGTAACGTCATAGAGTTGAATAAAAATCCAGAAATGTATGTAAAAAAACTGTCTTTACTATCTCATTCTTCATTCAAGCTGAAAACCTTTCAGATATTTGCTGTCCTCGAGATATTAAAAATTAATGATGTACAGCAAAACATTTAGGCTTGATGAGGAATCTAATACAGCGAATCGAATACATAGGGTTTTGAATAAAAGTAAATGTCAACCTAAATGGAAAGTATTAGAAGATTTTTCGCCGGCTACTCTTGTTTAAATCAACTAGAAACGCATGTCTCCTAAAACCGGGAGACTACTCGAATTCATCTGACGCTTATTATTAATTTAACTAGTCAGGCTAATGTAAAGTCATATTTAGTCATGACGTTTCGCAAAAAAGCTAATTTGTTTTTGGTTTTAAGCAATGCCAACGGAAAAGTGTATTAATATGAAGGATTGCGTGTTTTGTAACACGTAAAAATCAAAAAATTATCAGACTATGTTCGTAAATATTTATTAAGATTTTAATGAATACTAATTTAAGGTGCTCTTTACTCTGACCCATAAAGTTATTGTATTGTATAAATAATTAAATACTTAGCATACTCTCTCATTAAAATTTTATGAAAAATCGGAAACGACAAAACTAAACTCTTTGAAATAAATGATGAAGTTCAAAAAGCTGTCCTATTGTTCTGCAGGTTCTTGATTTTTTGAGTCAAAGCCTTTGTTTGAAGTCGGTAGTTTGCTGTAATACGTTTCATTTCTTCCAAAGACTGTCTTTTGTTTACTACAGAGTCAAATGAATCTTCGTAGTTTAGTAACAAAGCATTTCTTCCTAAAAGTCCACATGATCGGCGAAGTTTGGCATTCTCAGTTTTAAGAAGTTCTCTAGCCCTTTTGATTTTTGTTAGCTGGTCTTTGTTTACTGACAAATCCATATCAATACTATCAAGTATTTTCTTCTGACAGGCGTTACTGTCAAGAACAGCTTGAAGTTTTTCTCTGATGTGAGTGATTATTTGAACTGTGTTCGAAATTTTCCGTTTTAATTTGTTCAGCTCTTCATTTCTTTCCTCGATTTTTTGATTAAATGTTTGATTCTCGATTTTTAACTGCTCAAAATCAATTAAATGCAAGCCTTCTGACAGCTCATCTTTGGACTTTAGCAGAGCTTCAACCTTTGAGAGTTGATTTCTTAGCTTTATGTTTTCTAGCCTAACTTCTCTGACCATAGCTTCCTTATTTTTTTCGGTCGTAAACATAGAAGAAAGTTCTTTAGAGCTTATTGGTTTCCCAGTTCGAGTATTTATCGCCTTCTTCCCTACGTTATATTTAAATTCCGTAAACTCCTGGTAAGCCTTATCAAATTCTTCTTGTCTTTTCTGGCATAAGGTTTTCATCTCGTTAATCTGCTCAGTATAATAAGATTGCATTACCTTACACTGGTGACGAAGTTCAGAGATATTTGAGATGTATTTCATGTATTTCTGCTCATAATCTATAGACGAATCACTCACGATACCGCTAATGCTTGGTCGTGTATTCTGTTGATCGGATGCCTCAACTTTTTTACGTCTAAAGTATTCAGCCAACTTTGTTTGGAGCTGAAGGTTCAAATCTTTGACGGTTTTCTGTTCGTGTAAACATTGTCTGTACTTTTCTATCAACTCCTCGCGCTTCCTGAAGTCTTCTTCCGCTTCTATGTGACTGCTGATACACTCGTTATTATCGATTGTAAGAGAATCTGGAAACGAAAGACTGAGTTCATTCGATTCATCAGGTCTAGAAGCACGACGAATCTCCTCATGAATTCCTTGTAGTTCATCAGTTTCCTGTTTACCTTCAGAACTTTCCGTAAAATTTAATTCACTTTCTTGTTCAGCCATATGATCACCATTGTTAAGTCTTAACTGATATGGATTATCATCCACAGGAAAATTCAGTAACTCTTCATGTCTGGCATCAGTTTCTTCGGTTTCAGAAACGCCACTACTCGCAGCTAAATTATTATCAACAAACGATGGGGCTTCAATGGCTTCAATGTCCAAGAGACTGTTTTTCTCAACATCGGAATTTTGAGGATCGACGTAAATATTTTCATTTACAGAGTTTATGTCACCCCGT